AAAATATTTTTTCCTTTAAAAAAAAAAAAAAAAAAACAAAAAAAACAACAATTGAAAAGAGGTGGGGGTTTTTGGGGGGGGGGGGGGGGGGGGTTTTGGCCCCCCCCCCCCCCCCCCCCCCTTTTGGTTTCTGAACAAAGATGGTTTCTGAAAAAATCAGACTAATATTCCCCTCTTGGAATTAGAATATATTGACTAGCTGATTTATAGCACTAAACCATACCAAATGGCACAGATGGGGGGGAGGCTTCGCATCTGTGGACCCCCCCTTCAAATAATCTTGGATCCGCCCCTACAAAGCGTTAAAAGGCTTTTATTTGACAATAGTATTTGCTACTCCCTAAAAGTGACTGATATTTTAGAATTTCGGAATTCAGTGTAGCTCTTTCATTCTTTATAATTTTGTTCTATTTTAATTAAAAAGAGAGAATTAACATATATAACATTCAAATAAGTCCCCAATAACAGAAAACTTGGGTCAGGCAGATCAGGCAAATTTGACTTTCACTCCTATCAAGTAATAGTTATTAGTGTAATAATAATAGTTATCATTGTAATTAATCATAAAGCAGCATTATCCAAACAGTCCAAAGAAAAATGCCATACTCTACAGAATGTAGGTTGTCTTTCATTTGTCAGTTATCTCTAATCCCTCACAGTTGCTATCATATCTCAGTAAAAATCCCCCCCCTACAAATTAAAAGTACATTCAGCAAAGCAAACCATGGGTAGGTTACATACCTTTACATGCACCAATTATCCTTTGTTCCCCAGGGTACCTCTCAAATCCAGGCTTACAGTTGCAAAAGTAATTGCCAGCTGTAATATTTCCACTGCATGTGGTTGTCTCTAGATCACATGGTAAATAATCTTTGCAAAAATTCACATCTGAAATTCAAATGAGTCAATATCATTTTAACTGTTGTTATTCACTATTACATGCTGACAAGATCCCCCCCCCCCCCATGCATGCAAATTATCAATAAGAGTTTTTACTTAATTATGAGCAGTGTAATTTTAAAACAGATCACCTCGTAGGAGTGTAATACATGTACATATTATGTGTTTCAGATTGTGTTTGACATTACTTTCACGTTAGATAGAGGACATTTGACATACATGTATGTAGCTGCATACAGTTAATTTTAATTAATTAAAAAATATAATTATACAATAATGTTACTCACCTCTTGTTTTCAGTGAATCCAACAAAAATCCAGTAATATTGCCAAAGGTACAAGATGCATTACCATCTGTACAATTGGTTATATCTTTAATTATCTCTTGCAATTTTTTACTGAATTCTGTGGCATTACTTGTTTGATTGACAAAGTACAGAATGAAGTCCACAATCAAACTGCCTTGTCTGAAATTCATTTATTAAATCAATATAATTCATTCTTTACTGTATCAAGGCAAATAGTAAAAGAAGGCACTGATGACAGATACTTAAAAAAAAAAATTAAAAACTTTAAAGCTACAAACACTTAATATAGACAAAGGAAAGCACTTTTGCTTTCCACATAATCATTTTTTTTTTCACAATTCAATCCCGTCATGCCTTAGATCTAAAATATGATACATTGAAAAGAGCCAAATTTTTGACAACTCATGGACTCAGATGGGGATAGGGAGAGTTGATAATGAAGGTGCTTACCTCAAATTTGTCACTTTCACAGCAGATATACTGTCATTTCCCACAAATGTCTGTTTTAGCTGCAAAATTAGGATGATAAAATTATGAGCTCAGGTCGTGACTTATTGTCAGTGATACTAATGTTGGTGTCTGAAAATGAACTCATGCTTTTTTATTCATTACATTAATGTAGTGTCACAAAGAGATCACATGATAATATGTCCTAGAATATATTTAATTCTCTACAGATGTCATATCACTGGCAGATCCAAGAGATCAAGACAGTATGGGAGGGGGCATTGCCTGCATCCCTATTTTGGACAAAATATTTAAAATTATAAGTGCAGACTGGAGCATACTAGTATGTGCATGGGAAAAATACTCTTCTTTCCTTTTGTGAGGGTATTGTGGCTGTCTCTGGATCCATCAGAATCAAACACATCTGTTATTTTATATTAACAAGAGCGTGCAGTCTGTGTATACTGGTAGGATTATAGTTTCTATATATACTTGTACACACAGCATTTTTCTTTTATAATTATCAATAAGAAAATGACATGACCTAAATTACTTACTTGAATCTCGACATTTTTAATGACTTCTGTTTTGTAATATTTAGCATCTGGAGAGTTTGGATCTCCAAAAATGAGAGCAGAGTTAACTGGTGTGTTTCCGACTGTTATTTTCTCAAATGTTAACTCTGCCTTTAACTGCTGCTTTGCTGGAAGGAAAAATTGGTGTTAACACATTGCAGAACATGGAATCTGTTTTGTGCATCCTTTATTACCCTTGGTGCATTCATGAAAAATAATGATAATTTCTCTTTATAACTCAAATTACCATTATTTCTATTCAAAGTGTTTCACAAATAAAGAGGTTAAAATATCTCCTTTATAACATGGTGTACAAGGTGAAACTCTCAGTAGAAACCGCCCCAAGGTTGAATTGATGAAAACAATTATATCTTTGTATCAAGCCTAACAAATCTTTTAAAAATTATCTTAGGTATTATTTTTGTTTTGCAAATTGCTGTAATATTTCCACTGGTTACTGTAGATTACGTATATTATGTATATAATGTAACTATGAAACATGTAATTGCATTTACGTTTGTAAGACTGATATCACATAAGTATGATAATAGGTCTAGATATATATTACATGTATGTATAACACAAGTAGTTTAGAGGGCCTGTAAAATGTACTGAAACATTTTAGTGCTCAATAAATTATTATTATTATTATTATAAAAATGATATCTTGATTGTAAGAATGTTCTTACGTTTCTTGCACACATCTGTATCATTCTCCTTAAAGTAAGCAGGCAGACATAGACATTCATGGCCTCCAATGGTGTTTTTACAATATGCCAATGGATCCTCACAAGGGTTGCTTTTACATTCATCAATTTCTGCAATGTTCAGGAATTGTTTAAATGTTTAATTGAAAATAAATTCTACAGCAATCTGATAATTATTGAATGAGGGCATATGTCATGCTTTGTTTAACTTTATAGGAAGTTGCTTTTGAATGTGCCGGAATATCTAAAAAGCACATAAACATGCACGTGCATACACTTACACACATCAACATCCATGCTGTGCAGGGATGTTTTTAACATATAAATTATCTTTATGAAAGAGAAATGGAGGATATGAATCTGTTGAGACAAAAGATATGCTTTAACACTTATGTGATTATCATTACTGTTATCATTATCTACAACATGTTGATAATAACAGTCATAATGATATTAACAGTAGTATAATTCATTTAAACACCATTCCAGGAATAAATCTTAAATAACTGCCTTAGTTAAACATGAAAAGCATTTTTATTTGTATAAGCTAAAGGTTTATTTCACACTCTCATGGTCTCTTATGACTCTGATATTTATAAAGATGTACCTGTAGAGCAGTCTACACCTGTAAATCCAGTTGCACATTTACACACCCCACTATCACAGGTACCACCATTGACACATTTGACATTACTGCATGGGTTCACTGAAAGAAGAAGATAGAGTTGACTACTTGTAGTGCAGATTAATTCTGAAATTAAGACTAAAAATTTGGTCTGAAATAAAAGACCAATGTTCTGCCAGTTAAAAAAGGGATAACATCAAATGCAGCAGTACAAAAACTGCCAATATATATGGCCATAATTTACAGTTGCTGTAAGGGCAACAGGTACTGTACATGTGGCGGCTTGAACGGTCTTAACAATGATCAACCTTGAGAACATCTGAGTTATAGAATAATTCTTTCAGTAATTAGATAAATAAGTAAATAATCATTGCACAATAAAACATCAAATGTGGCTGTTCAAGAACCATGCATTATGGATTAAATGGACATAGTTTACAGGGAAACAGGTTCAGTACATGTGGTGGCTAGAAGAGCCTTAATGCAGATCAACCTCAGATCATAAGACCTGAATTATGGAAAAATTCTTCTGGTAATTTTTTAAAAAATAAATAAGCAGATAAATAATTACATTGAAAAAGATATTGTAAAAAATTTGATAAAAAGAGACGCACACAAACACACTACGTAGCATATGCTTCAGGTTATTAAAAAATAATAAAGTTTAACTTAAAAGGACTTTTATTCAGACTGACCCAGTTCTTATTTAATGTGACATTAAAAGAAGTAAAAAATCGAACTTCATATTAAAGAGTAAATAGGGGTAAACCAACACCCACATTTAAAACATGTTTTCTATTCCAAATGAAGCAGAAAAGCATTGCACTGCACCAGTTAATGTCCTAAGGCAAGCATTTAGTCTTCCCATTAAATTAATGCCCCTTCTCAATGTGCTCTTGAAAATAAAGGCAGGTCACATAAAAATGTTGGATATATTCAATCAACAAAAACACAGAAAAATATAGGAAACACTTTTTGACAATGGCCTCCAAATTATATATTTATACAAATTACATTAATCTAACAGGAGATCATTTTGGAGCAAGATGACTATATCATATGAATTCCCAATCTTTGCTTATTTAATTTTATACATTTTTATACGTTGACCTAGCCTATTTGTGAGAGAAGGAAAGGCAACATCATTTATTTTATTTTTCCACTTTTTATTTTTATTCTTTTTTATGATTCCTTAAATGGTAAAATGTTTTATCTCCAAGGGGTTGGGATAATTCAATAATGATCAGTTATTTTAAAAAAACTTTTGGTAATTTTAATCAAAATACTAATGTGGTTGATTCAAATTGATTCATCTTAGATATTAATATATGTTGACTGCATATCCATATGATAAAGGTTTAGATCAGACTTCAAGAAAATAGCTTTATATTGAATAAAAAACTGTCCAAAACAAGACAAAAATTAATAGATTACCAATGTAAGATACACATTAACAAAGTTACAAATTCCCATCCAAGAACTGTCAACAAATAAATGGTAAACCAACCATTTGAACATTGCTCTAAGACTTGGTGTTCCTGCCCTAAATCAGTTTGCAAGATATAGGGAGCATTTACACATGCAGACCAACTGGTCCATCAGGTTTGAACAAGTTTTACGCTAATATATTTATTTTAAAATATGAATCCATCTGCATCATTATTCAAGTAAATGTAGTGCCAGAACTTCCTTTGAAAAAAATTGCTTCATGCATATTTTTTCTGTACAAATCTGTCTCAAAACTGTTACGAACCAGGCTTGTTTTATGGGTGCACCAGTCTTTGGTGATGTGGAAATGTGCCTTTTGTTCTGAATAGGTGTAAATATCCTTATCAGTTAACCTTGTTTGCCTAGTGTAGCTCACACCCATTTCATCTATAATGGTCTGATACAAGGCTGCCAATTCTACACACTAACATAGGCTATACAACTTGAAAAGAAGTACATGAATTTTTAAGTGTTTTTATTCTTCTTATTCTGTTATGAACACAATATTTTCAAATTCTAAAAGCTGTAATTCTGCTTGTCCTTCAGTACCAAAGAATCTGAAGGTGGATACCATAAATTCTTTTAAAAAGCAACAAAGTATTGCCCACATAATAAAAAAATTGTGTTCATGAAAGTTATCATGATTAATTGACCTGCTGAAATTAAATGGGCATTAATTTAAAGAAATTAATCTAAAAGTTTGCAGTATAGAGATTACTACATGGACATGCTCATGTATGACCTAGCTAGGACTTAATGAAGAAAGTGAATGTAAGCAACACTGAGGCAAAATACTGGTACCAGTACATATGTCCATGTAAACACATGAATAAATAGGAGACTTTCGGATTTATTTATTACTGTAAGAAACCAAAGTCTGATTTGCATTTTAGTAAAAAAAAAAAAAAGAAACTTGTCTGTTTCTGAAATGTTAATTGAAACATGACAAGTTCATTTGTATATCTATATTAATTGACTATTAAAAATCAAAACTGTAATTTTTATTTTTGGTGTAAAAAGGAAATGATACTTCCTTCCGTCTCCAATTAAAATTTTGTTTGTAGAAGTATACAAAAGTATCAGCATTTAAAAAGTTTAAAACGGCTGTGATCAAAACAGCGGACTAAGAGCGCATTCCCAGAGATTTAGATTGATCCAACTAGATCAACCTAATTCCCTGGGGGTTCACGCTAAATTACTGTCAGCCGACTGCCCACGAAGTTAATTACCCCTTTACAGCTTTTAGTAGGCGGGACAGACATTTAAGCCAGCTGACAGTAATCTAGTGAGACTCCCCACGGGGATAGATCAATCTAAAATCTGTGGGAATGGGGTCTAAGTAGTCTGTGGATTAAATATGGCGACCCACTTGCCATCAAATCCCCTTATACATAATGAATAGATCCCCCGCAGGTATTATGCAACAAGCATTCAAGTGGGCTGGGCATATTTGATCTGCGGACTAGTTAGTTCACACTGGTGTGAATATATGGCCTTAGAGTGCATTAAGAATATATAACAGACTAACAGAATCACCGATCAAATATGGTGACCCACTAAAAAACTTGTTGCTTAATTCCTGATTATAGACACTGAATAGATTCCCCGCAAGGATTATCAACAAGCATTCAAGTGGGTCGCCATATTTGATCCGTGGATCTGTTAGTCCTATGTTCTGAATACCCTTTTAGTCATGTGTCCAAGGCAGCATATATCATTCCCTCCTCCCAACTGATTAATTGGTCATAAATCCCTGCTACCCCATTCATGTGATATCAGATAACAAACATTCCAGAACTACACAGCATCCTACTTGCTTCAATAAAAAGATTAAATCAAAAAGAGGCAGAGGAAAAAGGTAATTATATTTTTTCACCATGGAGATCAATAGTTTTCTTATCACGTCTTGGTTGACCCAAGTGGGGAGGTACGTGTGCTGTTGAAAAATACTTCCTTGATCTTGACAAGTCTGGTTTGATGATTTATTGACTGGATGATATGGCTGAGGTATAAAATGCTGAATTTAAGACCACAGTGCACAGTTACCCCCACCCCTTTAGATTCAGAATTTGCTTGTAGACTTTTCTAAAAAAATTATTAAATATAATCAGATGGGAATGACAATTAAAAAGAGACAATACCAAACAAATTCTTCATCCCTGTTTCCTAGAAATATACTTTCTGTCAAATATCTTACATATGCAAAGACATCAAATTTAGTGAAGCAAGTTATTCGTATATCTGTGCCCCAGCCCCACCCCACCAGTGCACATCCTTTCTATTATCATCCTCTATTATCAATAATTCTGTACATCACAAACATCAGTCTGAGGTCCACAAACTTAAGATATCTTGTTTGTGTTAGTATGTAGGTTGACTTCGGTCTCTTTCATCACTTAACAATCTGAATCTCAAAGTTGTTTATGGGTAAAGTCCTGTGTGAGACATTGTGCATTGTGGTTTTTATGTTTGATGACAATATACAAGCTTAATATTGTGGAGATTTTCAGTTGTTTTATTATTATTTTACTCAAAGAAAGAGAGGACTAACCATGACATAAATGTATTGAATTTTCGTTAATTCTTTCTTGTGGTGCATTTGTCAAAACCAATTAAATTAAATTATTCATAACTTTTATTTTGTTTAGGTACATGTAACTTATCAACTTAATCACTCTGAAGTGCTAATTCTGAGAACTCACATGTAAGGCAACTTTAGGGAGGTGGCCATTAATGTATGTTAATACTTATCTTATTTCTTAAAAGGTTTAAATTTCTCTCAGCATAACCCCATAAGATACAATCACTGGATGTCTACTTAAGAAAAGTAACCAATTGTAGCATGATAATACAGTAGCTAAAAACAGAGTGTAATAAGTATGAACTGTTCAAAATGGTCTCACAAAACATGACAAATTCTTGAGAGACAAGAGTTCTTGCTTCAGTCACAATATTCCTCTTCAAGTGTTGTTGTTATTATGTATCAAATTCAAATAAAATGATAATAAACAAATAGATATGTAAAGCAATAATATTCTGAATTAAAAAATCATGACATTCTCCAAAACAATATTTTTAGTAATGCATAAAAAGTTTGATATTTGAATGAAAATGTTTTTAATATTTGATATTTATATATTTAAGGGAATTTAGGTCAGAAAGAATATCTTTGTTAGTAACTTAAAAACTATACATCTTTAGAAGTACTTGGATGAGGGAGGTGTTTGAAAATTTCCACTTATTACATTATATTTCAAATTTTGAATGAAAAATTTTAAGACCAAAACTAGACCTCAGATATGATACTCCATCCTCCAGAGCAGATTACTCGGGATAAACACAGTACATGTACTTGAGCTGAGTGAGACACAATGGGATATGATAATCTGGCTGTAAGTATGACTGAAGGATTATCATTTGAAAACTCATTACTAACCACTTAAACTGTAACAGCTAACATTTAGCTGTAGAATGGAGAGTCCTTGTATCTCTCTTTTCTAATACGTTTTCAGCTATCTTTTACCTTTTAAAATTAAAATCATGTCAGAATGTAATTGTTCACCCCCCTTCAGAAAAATGAAATGTAAAAAGTATTAATCAAGCTTTGTTTTTTTCAAAATGACTGAGTTGAAAGAATAACTGTACATGTAATTATAATTTACCTGTGCTCTCTGCAGCCACAGAAGTTGATGGTGACTTGGTTGTTGAACCTATTGAGGTATCACTAGCAGTAGGGCCTATATTTTAAAATAAACTTGTTTTAATAATATTAGAAGGGAGCTTTGGGAAAATGATTTATCCGTCCAAGACAGGCCAATAGCTGGAAAAAAGGTCTGCTCTGGAAAAATTTTAATATACAAAGGTTTCATGGTAAAATGTCTACTTTTTCAGAAAAAGAACCCCTTTCAAAATTGCTGGCTATAGATCTTGCAAGATATAAAGCATTAATTTTGGTACTTTAAAACATAATAATACCTTCAGATCATGTAAAAAAAGGCATCTGTAACTAAAGTGTAAAAGTTCTCCCCACACACAAAAAAAGAAAAAATTAGCTAAAATTTGTTTTCCCAAAATGATTGAGTTCAAAGATTTTTACCTGTGCTATCCAAACCATTAGTAGCTGATGATGGTGGGGTTGATGGACCTATGGAGGTCTCACTGGGAGTAGAACCTAATGATAAAATAAATCAATGTTATTTTCATTTATGATTTTAAATTGCATCTTAATGCATGAAATTTTAAAACATCTGACATAGAGGAATCTATTTTCCATGATAATTTTCGGTTACTAATTAAAAAGTTTATATTTTTCAACTAATTACATTATATTTCAAATTTTGAATGAAAAATTTCAAGATTGAAACAAGAACTCAGATACAATATACTCCATAATACTCCATCCTCCAGAGTATGTTACTTGGGATAAACATAGTACATGTACTTGAGCTGATCGAGTGAGACACATTGGGACATGATAATTGGGCTTTAAGTATGACTGAAGGCTTATCATATTAAAACTTTTAAACTCATTACAGACCACTTAAACTGTAACAGCTAACATTTAGTTGTAGAATGGAGAGTCCTTGTATCTCTCTTTTCTAATACGTTTTCATCTACCTTTTACCTTTTAAAATTAAAATCATGTCAGAATGTAATTGTTCACCCCCCTTCAGAAAAAAGAAATGTAAAAAGTATTAATCAAGCTTTGTTTTTTTCAAAATGACTGAGTTGAAAGAATAACTGTACATGTAATTATAATTTACCTGTGCTCTCCACAGCCACAGAAGTTGATGGTGACTTGGTTGATGAACCTATTGAGGTATCACTAGCAGTAGGGCCTATAGTTTAAAATAAACTTGTTTTAATAATATTAGAAGGGAGCTTTGGGAAAATGTTTTATTTGTCCAAGACAGGCCAATAACTGGAAAAAAGGTCTGCTCCGGAAAAATTTTGATATACAAAGGTTTCATGGTAAAATGTCTACTTTTTCAGAAAAAGAACCCCTTTCAAAATTGCTGGATATTGATCTTGCAAGATATAAAGCATTAATTTGGGTACTTTAAAACATAATAATACCTTCAGATCATGTAAAAAAGGCATCTGTCACTGAAGTGTAAAAGTTCTCCCCACACACACAAAAAAAGAAAAAAATTAGCTAAAATTTGTTTTCCCAAAATGATTGAGTTCAAAGACTTTTACCTGTGCTATCCAAACCATTAGTAGCTGATGATGACGGGGTTGATGGACCTATGGAGGTCTCACTGGGAGTAGAACCTGCACTTGTTCCTAATGATAAAATAAATCAATGTTATCTTAATGCACAAAATTTTAAAACATCTGACAAAAAGGAATCTATTTTCCATGATAATTTTCAGTTACTAATTTAAAAGTTTATATTTTTCAAGTAAAGTGTTACTTATAACATCATGTTTCAAAAGTTTTGTCATCTATCAGACAGAGCAGATATGAAGTTTTTCAAGATACAATTCACAGTGAAAAAATTTGTAAAATATTTATTCAAAAATTCATCTTCAGTTCACAATTTAATGAAATTTGATTTCTAAAATTAATGAAGAATGTTAAAAGAAAATAATATTCATGCACTGCACACTGGTTTACAAACTTACCAGTGGACTTCTCTGAAGAGTTTCTAGTTGTCATCTCAAGGGAGGAAGAAGTTGTGACTGCAGACACAGGTTTCCCTGCTGACGTGTTTAGGGACGTTGTCACTGTCACCCCAACAGAAGATATCCTCCCAACAGTTGTCACTGAAGGTGATCCAGTATTTTTGGATTCAGATTCATTCAATCCTGGAGTGATTGCCTTACTGCTGTCAGAAGTAGGAGGTACTGTTGTAGGAACTGTCTCAGAAGTGCTCATTGATTTAGTAACATTTTTTGATTTATTTGTTTCAGAGTCGTTCCCCTTTTGTGTAGTTGTAGTTATTTCAGTTGTTGCAGTTATATCTGTAGTCCCCTTTGTAGTCACTGGAGAAGGCTCAGTTGTAGCCAGGGTTGTACCTTGTAATGTACGTATATTAAGTATCATCACACAAATCAAAGTTGTTAAAGATAATTGATCTATCCCAATTTTATAGAGCAAGTCGAAAAGACGAAATATGTATATTAACATTTAGAGATGACTACATAAAGACTGCTTTGCTTTAAAAATCATTGATTAGTATCCAGTATACTAAAAAATAATAATAATAAAATTTTCAAATTGGAAAATGAAATCGGTCATTATATCCTTCAAGTTGAGACATACAAATTGTCAATTTAGATTAAGTCACTGCTGCTTTACAAAATAATGAAAGAAAATACATTCATGAAAATAATAAAAAGAGCAATATGATATAATAATGAATAGTTACTGGTTGTTTCATTGCTTGCACCCACTCCAGAAACTTGACAAGATGTGGCACAGATCAAAACGACCACCATTCTCAGAGAAACCTTCATCTTGAAGTCAAGCCACAATGGCACAGGCTTAAACAATATCCAAGTCTGTATATGATCTGCACTACAAAATCATAAAGTTAACTCCTCTCTTTGGCTGATAATAAGTTCAACGTGTACTATAAAATGAATGGTGGTAAATATTTAACAAAACAAATGTGAAATAAACATCTGTGAAAACAACACTGAACAAACCACCAACTGCCAACAATTAGCCTCAGCAAGTGGCTGGTAAAAAAAAACAACACTGTTTTAAAAATAACTGTTGAGTTAGAGAACACACGTCTGCCTCTTTTGCGGCCCACTGGTCGATAAGTCATTGGTGTGGTAACTACTGCTATAAGAGTATCACAAAGTGTTTGTGACCTGCTCTCCTGAAGTGTTTGCACAAGCTGATAACAGAAATTCAGTGTAAGACACACAGCAAGTACAGGGATATTGGGACATCAGTGGATTTTGTGTGGCACAGCAGCAATTATCTGCTGCTAACATCATATTGTCTTATTCTTAATTTGAAACATTTTATTTTTGTCCTATTGCAGTTATTCGTGCCTTATTTTGCAAGACTTTTTTAGTGTAATCAACTGTGTGATAATTTCTAGTTTGACTAATGTATAAAAATACTGCTTTGACAAAATCAATGACAGTTTTTTCTTTTTCTTTTTAATCTCATTTAATTTATGATCAACAGCAATGATCCAATGTTACTAACTTGGAAACTTAGACATGTAATTTATACTTAAACCTCCATTATGAAAATGACCTTGGTGAACACAGGGACAAATGACGCGATATGACTATGAACATATTTATCAGCTATAGATTTTATTTTAGTTAGAGCAATGATTCATTGGCCATGTATCTATTATAGTTAAACAAAGTTGCCGTTTGATCTGCCATATCCTAAATTTTGCTCAGTATCAATATCAAATTATGATACGGCATTTAATTATCAAACATTTTCCATCTAAATCTTTTCAATCATAAGTCATTATGACATTCTGCTAACATAATAAAGCATTTCTGAGTACAATTTATCTTTTTTTCCAACATGTAATTAACACCTGAAACATTTAACACCTAGTTCTTAAGTAAACACATTCTACATATTCAGGTACTGTGTAAGCTCAGACTCACTATTCCCAATCAAGGATTTCAGCACTCTTTTTGTGACCCATAAACCAAGAAGTCTCTTATAACTTCTTGCATAAACATACAAAAAAAAAAAAAAAGGGGTAAAGGGGGGGGGGGGGGTCACCTGCCTTTTTCTTCATCCTCAAAATTCTAGACCTGAGGATGAATTAAGTGTAGAGATTGCAGGATCAACCAAATCGTATTTCTAACAAAAACAAGCAAACATGGTACATGATACATGTCTTATTAGTGACTTAATATCTCAGTAAAAGAATTAAATCATTCCACTTAAGTAGTATTTCCACAATCACAGTTCTTAGAAATTACAGTTTAGACTCTGCCGTTTATCAAGTACTGGTAATGATCAACAAGTTGACCCCTGATGTGCAGATTGTGGGTAAACATTGAACAATAAAGGCATACAACCATGAGTTAATCAGTAAACTCACTTCTCTGGGGTGTATCTAGATGGAAAAAAGATCTGAAAGGACACATGTTCCATATGGAAAGATTAGAAGTCGATAAAAATCTCTCAGTGTCGCCCCCGGTATGTTACTCTCACAGCACAACATGTGTTCATTGCATGCCATACCCTAGATATGTCACTGTATTTTCTTGATATTCTCAGTCTGGTTTTCTGGTTTGATTTTCCTGTTCCTGATAAAGTACTTAGAGTGAAAGAAGATAATAATTTAATTGTACTCACATCAACATGACATGGACCCATTTTAATGACATAATTATTGCCCTTATTGACCCCAAATTTCATTTCATTTCATTTCATTTCATTTCATTTCATGTTTCATTTATTTTTGAATTTTAATTATCAAATTTTATATGTTGGTAATGCTGCTTGTAATCCAGTATTGGGAGGTAAGTTGAGCTTTAACTTTTAACTTAAAAACCACTTTTAAAAAATATTACAGTGATGATGCTACTCCATCTCCTTGTTAATACTTGTTTATTTCACTGAACAATAAATCTGTCATATTATAAACAAATGGATATGTATATATGATTATGCAAATAGGACTTAAGAAGCTATTATAAATTTTGTGTTGTTGTCACATTAACCAATACAATATGTGACCATATACATGTATCTTCTTAAAGGAACCCCTTACTTCAGAAATTACTTTTTTTAAAATCTCACTTTTTTCCAACAAAAGAAGGTTCATATACAAGAAAGTACTCTTGCACAACACTTAATGTAACATGTTCAGCATGGACGGAATGCTGTATTTTACAGAATCCTACTGGAAAAAAAAACAATCTTAAAATGCACTTAGATATATCATGAATAAAAGATTTTAACACATGCATAAATATGGTTTTATATACATGTACATGTATATCCAGGCAACTAAACCCACTGTCTAATTTTAAATCAGATAATTATAATAATAATTGACAATGTATAGTTTCAACAAATCATTTTTGTTTTGACATTACTTAAAACACATTTGCCAACATTAAAACCAAATTAAAACGAGATGACAAAGCATGAAAAAAAAAAACATGCTTGAAATTTTAGCAATAAGAAAGGCAAAAAAAAAAAAAAAAATGGAACATTATTCAACTGAGCCTCTTATTAAAATTGATATATGTATTTAATAAAGATGACTCCAGCAAGTAGAAACACACAACTGTGTCTGTTTCCCAATGATAAACAAAGTGCATGGCCATTCCATCGCACTAGCCACACCAACAGACTGGTGATAGCTGCAAGAATGGACAAATTCAGTGTCTGCATGAAAATCTTCCACCCACACAAAAAATAATACAAAAATAAATAAATAATAAAGAAAGAAATATTTAACACAACATAGCTTAAAAATTAAAATCATATTTCTATTGAATCTGATATCAATTAAAATATCACTTCCCTGAATCTTAAACATCTGTCTTGGTTCTCCTGCATCTCCTGTCAATCCAGTAGATGTCACCAGTGTCTGCGTATTATGATATTAATTATGTCACAGTTCCAAAAGTGTTATACATATCATCATGAATGACACCATCACAAAGAGTTTTGTTACATGTTTATAGTTGGCGCTAGTGTCTATGTCCATTCGACATGTCTTCACTGGCCGAGGCAATACCTGAATCTGGTTTTATCCCATCCTCATCTGCATCAGACTCCTCTGACTCTTCAGGAGAACTAAATTGAAAATTGAAATCAATTTTGATGATTTAAACTAAGTTTCAAAAAACAACACACCATTTTGTTAAATTTGGAACCGTAACTGATGAGTCACAGTCTGGTACATACAGGAAAATGGAGAACACGTTGGATGTCTGTTCACATGCTCTAACAACAGGAATTTCTGACATACACAACAGGCCTGATAGACAGTGACAGAAAATAAGGTAACATAAGTGCAGCACCTGCATATTTCTATAAAAAATACCTATACCTATCATCATCATCATCGTCGTCATCATCGTCGTCTTCATCATCGTCGTCATCCTCATCATCATCACTCTCTTCAGAACTGGCCTCTGCATCTGTAAAATGTCAGAATATCAAAAATCTGCCGCTACCTGATCACTACAACATGTCCAATATAACTTGAATGTCCATCTAGGTAGCTAAACATTAAAAAGAATATTGATTTTAACCTTCTTTCAGGAATGTTAAGTTCACACAGACTTTCAGCGATGTAATTCCGAAAAAAATGTACCAATTTTTGTATATTTATATGGTAATCACATGAAAACAAACACAGCAGACAACATCACAAATTATGACAATCACTTGGGAAAAGAAATGTGATGGGACTTTACAACAAATTCTGGTTCATTAATCTGTGGTGCAAAATAAAATATTTGACACAACTCACAATATAATTTCATCAACTGAATCTGGTTTTAAAAACAAAGGAACAAGAGAGACTTACCAAGCTGCATCTTCTCTTCAATCAGTGGTTTGAACATGAGAGCTTCGGGGTGTTCTGGCTCATACAGGAGAACTGGAAATGGGTTTTAATGAGAATGTTAAAGTCTTTAAAGCTTGAAAGCAAATTACAGGGATGGGATGCAAGGATGCTTAAGAGAAGCAAATCCTCTCCCCCTTCCCAGAATCCCCAAAATGATGAAAACTGCACTCCATAAAGAAAAATAAAGTGCAGTATTCTCAAATACCTTTTAAAAGCACTCTCAACCCTTGAAAACTCTCATATTTCTTAAATGTTCTGTTATATGCACTTACTCATCTGACAGAGTTTAGCTGCATTTGGGTAATCTTGCTCCATCACACATTGAAGAAACTGGAAGAAGATTTTCAAAATTTAGTGAACAGCTTTTTTGTGCAATGGCTTTTCTTTCCTGTGCTATACATAGTTTACCAGCAAAACTTGTTGAACTGTAAGATGAAAGTATTATCGAAAGAGTTAAAATTGTTATATCTTTGCATGTCTGTTTTACTTTTTGTCAGGTTATATGATTCTAAAAGAAAAGATTGCTTTCAATTTTATAGAACAAACACCTTATATTTTGATTATACTTCGAAATGTGACTAAATTCTAGACTTTATGTGAGACCAGTTCCTGTGGTGAGGACAGTATTTACCTCCATAATCAACTGGTTGGGGGCCTTCACCTCCTCTTCCTCCTCATCTTCTTCATCTTCATCCTCATCTTCCGCATCAGCGTCATCGCCTTCTGCAGTGGCTATGTCAGGTTTGACAGATTTGTTGCTATTATTCCTGTACAAAATGAACTGTTGTAATAAATGCTAATATTAATGTAATAACCAAAAAGACAAGGAACGTTGTTATTTTTGTATGAATTTGATAGAACTTCTGACAAAAGATGAAAGTTTGGCACATAGTTATGACTTTGTGATCACTAATTGTCATAATGATATCATCTGTTATCAGACAATGATAATCAAAATTTATATTATTCATTCTGCAGAAAGAGAAAAAAAAACATGAAGCCCTAAATATCTGATTTTGAATTCTGAGGATGCTTTTTCCCTGCTATGCACTCACTGTGCATACAGTAATACAAGATTTGACTGATACAAAAAAACCAATCCATTTCCACTGTATCCACATACCCATTACTGGATGCTTCCGCCCCAGCACTGACTGCGCTCTGAGGGTCTGGAGCTCTCTTGTGGTGAGAAGAACCTTGAAAATATTGAAAAATATTCTGAATCGGTTATAGAAGATAACTTTTTTTTTAATGACTTATATAGTACATACTTCCTTTTATTTCATACTTCATTGTGTCCTACTGTGACATCAACACATTTAATCAAATATTAATTATAAAAACTTGATTAAGTAATACAAAACAAAAAAAAAGCATAACCAGCTCCATGCATCAGATGTGAAGATGAAGGAAGCTTGAAGGAAGTGACATTGTGATTGCTGTAAAACACTTTCCAGTGTCTCAATAAAATTGGGCTAGGTGTGACAGCTTTAGTGTGTTTGAAGTGACTTCAAGACTGTGCTAAAACAGACAACACTATTGTGTTAGTTGTGACAACACATTCCTCTCCACTCACCACCAAGCAATGGATGTCCCTGCAGTGACATGTCCTTCATCTCCTGTTCTAGCTTGGTTTCTTCTCTCCTAAATACAACAAATGAAACCTTAGAATCCTTTTCACTTTGAAAGCTTGTTGGCATGACACATTTATATTTGAGGGCATAAAAGATATTCAAATAAAATAAGATGAAAGCTTTGGAAAAAGAAGGGCTGTGTTATCATACTTCTTGTTGACTTTCACTAGAGAAATAGACATTATTATAAAAGCCTGTCCGTTTCTCATACAGCAACTAGTGTCAGCCTTTGTTAGGACATTTTTTATAATATCAATATATTCAGAAATATCAGTCAAGGTAGCCCACCTAAGTCTCTCTTCCTCCTGTGCTTCATATGCCTTCCAGTCAAAGTCTCCAAAACTCACATCGGTGCTAATAAAAATAGCAAATGAAAACAAGGAAATGATCATAATATACAAATATATTTTATTTTATCATTGACTCTGCATACCTCATATGAATGATACACAGGGTTCCCGAAAATGTTTATTAGCAACATTGGACGGTCATAAATTCCAAGACTGAGATGAGTTGGATTTTATATGAACTGCTGATACATGGAAGACACTGTTGATCAAGTTGAATTGAAAAAGTGATACGGCACTTTGTCAGAAAGAATATCAAAAATCCATCAGTAGTGAACATTAAGCTTTTTAATTTAAAAATTCAAGCAGTGAAACAATAAAAGATAACACACTCTTCTTTCTTCCTGACAGTCTGCAGAGCCACCTGTTTGGTTGGAGTCATACTCCTCCTCCCAGAACCAGAGTCTGCTCTCTGTAGACCTGGAGGTCGGCTGCCTGCACTGGCTCTCCTGGAGATATCAAAAGGACAGCTTGTGAACTCTACTTATTAATAAAATATTAATGCACTATGAAACATGTCTAAACCTCAAAATATTTGAGAATATCAAAATAGGTTCCCATTTATGTTTTCAGCAGGATGTGTCACACCTAACACATTCTGTTCATTACAAGTACCTTGCTCCACTACCAGCTCTTTTTTCTGAACCAGGACTTCCCATGGAACCATCACCAATTTCTAAAATTATAACAAATCACTTTTTATTCATTAATTTTTTTCTCACTGTATTTAAGGAACAAAATATATAGTAACAATCAATTAATACAGAAAGTCTGTCACAAATATTCAATTCCACGACTGTATATATCATGCCATTGGTGACTAGTTACATATGTTAAGATTTAATAGTGACACAAATCACGAGATTTTTACTTTGCTTTCTCATCTATATGAAAACAGCGTGTGGGTAAATTTTTTTTACTAACCTTGACCTTGTGGGGGAAGAAACTGAAGACTGCTTCCAGTTTGCTGCTGTTGAAGAGAGAAATTAAACACCTCAACTAGTAACAAGCAAATCAACATAGTAATAAATTAATACCAAGTTCCAAAGTAATACTGTATAACTAAGTGACACAAGTAATAACATGTATTGATGACTATAATCCTATCAAGATAATTCTCTTCCTCTATACAGTATGCTTAGGTATAGCACTGGTTTGTTGTGCATCCTCTGTTTGAAAATGTGAAGCAAAATTATCATTTTCACCCTTTAAAAAAAAGCTATTTAGAGGCAAACAACTTACCTTTTTCACAGAGCCTGACATTCTGTGTGAAGATATTGGTGATCTATAAAAAACATACCAATGCAAGCTTGCAGCATATGTAAAACAGGCTTTTACTTTGTTGATTTTATGTCAATTATACAAGTAAAAAAAAAGAAAAAAAAATCAACTCATAAGCTATAAACCGAGTTTGTTTTTCCACATCATCAACAGACCATCTTGTACTATAAAAGGAAAACTATATATTACATTGTGCAACATCGTATTAATTATAATCCTCTGAAATCTTCTTAACTACTGTAATCAATACTCCGCTGCTAAAACCTACAATTCAATACTTGGAGCCAGATTTAATGAGCAACCCTGAGCCAGATTACTAGTACATACAATAGGTCAATATTCTTATTCTGTGGATTATAAACAATAAAACTACATTGTACGTAGTAAAGTATATGTATGCTGGCATTTTGACCTTTATATTTCCATAGTCAACTGTCTGCACCTAGAAAATCTATTCAAATTTATAGACAGTCCAGATAAAAAATTGTAAATAAAGGTGAAATCAACTAAAACAACTCCTGAAATTCTCTTGATATGATCCAAATAGTAGTTATGATAAATCGTCTTTTTTTCATTAGTTCCACAAAAAAGTTAGTCAATGAGGACTAATGACCAATGTTGTTGACTACTTAACACAAGTTGAACCTCATTAATACCTGTACAGAACTACCAGTAGACCAAACTTCCATCTGTAGTACTAACTCCGTACATACAATGTCTGTATTCACATACCTTATGACCACATGATACAGGAATGTGTAGCACAATACACTCTTAAGCCTTATATTATATTATATTATATTATATTATATTATATTATATTACTACTGAGTAGTACTTACCCCCTTGCATTACTTCCCAGGGGTGAGTCTGATCTTGCATGAGCCATATTGGAATGTTAGTCAAGCTGGACCAGACAAGCACATGTACAAATACCCTGTGCAAAATCGATTCACATATATGAAAGTTTACATGTTTGCACCACCCTCCTGCTGCCTTCCTCTTTGATCTTTGATCTTGACCTGTATTTCGGAAAAAGTCAGATGATTATAATCACCAGCTTTTTGTTTATCTTTAACTTTATCAGGCAAGTTACTCACTTACTGTAGAAGAAAAACTTTTGGCCAATGAACTTTTGAATTATTTTTTTTTTTACAAAGAGCTGTATTACTGTTAGGATAGATTCACCGTAGGTATCGAGTCTAAGCATGGGGAATTAATAGTAAATACTAAATGTGCCAACTAGAAAAATAATGCCTTGTAAATGTGTTGTAAATGCCTTGCAATGAACGCATTTTAATTACGGAAAAAACTAAAAAGATTTTTATTTCTTTTGTTTCTTAGTTTCTTTTAAAATATTCCTGATAAAATATCGTTGTTCATGCTGCTTATATAATAAATCAACAGGGGATAAACAATTCCAGTTTTTACTAGTTTCTGATTACAACAATGTAAATCAGCTGCAGCAAGAAGAAACCATGCGAGTGGCAAGCAACTGACTGAAACCATTTCGAAAACAAGAACGTCAAGGATAGAAGGTACCCACCAGGTTTTGAAGTCTCGTGCAGTTTTTTCGTCAGAATAGCATAACTTTCACTTCACCGATAATCTTTTAATTGAAAATAGGGTCGCTTTATGGCAAAACCCTAACAAATTTTGGCGTTGCTAAATTTTTGTTAGGATGCTGAAAAGAGACTCGCATCAACATCGATAACATATCTTAGCCAAGAAAAGCCGAGAGTGTCATTCACGCGTTATGATTTAGACGACTGACTTGATAAGCAATACTCTGGCCTAAACTGCGTGCAAATACCACTTTAGTCCCATAAAAGTTTCTCTTACTTTGAACATGTGGCTCACTCTAGGGCATTTGATAAATTTTAAATAATCATTTAAAAATATATAACATGAACTTTGTTTTCAGAAATACATCTCTTACATCAAATACAATAAGAAGTTAAGCTATTATTTCACAGAACAGTGCAAATGCGCAAAACACATTATACTAGGTTTCGTCAGCTTTATTTTAAAATGAAGATAAACTGTGGACCTTTGGCACCCATAAAATCAGATAACCATTTTCTAATCAATTTACGGGCCCAAATGTTGTGCTCAACGGGCCACAAACATCTCATTTCATGTGCAATATATATACTTGGGGTAATATATTAGTAGATAAACAACAAGACCCAAATTTTGCTGAAGACAGCTTTTATTAAGACCACCAAATTTCTTTCAAAGAAACCTTCCATTTAGAACCCCCATCGATCCAAAAGAAAACATCAATTTTATGTACCACAAGTACTCTGCAATCAGGGTGCAAAGACGAAAAGGAGATTTTTATATTGCACTTTGATTTACATGTATCGTTAAACATACCAGAAATAGCACCCACATACCAACATTTGTAAAGTCAGTCTTTATGACTGTACTTTGTAAGTACACATAACCATTACAATTCCACCAAGAGAAAATGTTTAACTACCAATAGTACATAATTTACGTTTTACCCTACACCAAATAGCAATAACCCAATAATGTCAATCTGGAAAATGTCTGTATTATATGATAAATAAATTCAAAGTTGGTTTGCCAACTGTTCGTAAATCAATATTTGAACTCTAATTTCATCTTGAAAATAGTCACTGTGATGATACTACTATCTTTTTGCATAAAGCCACCACAAGAGAGATTTTGAATGTACATTTTAAACAGCTATGAAACAATTTAAAACATGAAAAAATGGTAGCAGAATGAGACAAATTTTTGCACAAATAATTGCAAAGCTGATTGATTCTTAAAAAAAAATTATCAAATTTCAATTTCTTTAAATACCTTACACTGAGACAAACATGAATTAACAATGGAGACTCAAAGACATTGTACCAGTGCAAAAATAGGTTGGACATTGTTATTAAAGGATTTACAATGTCACAATGAGTTTAATGATTAATTCCATTGTTTAAAACACAGACAGGCATGATTTATAACAATTACATCCAGAGTCACTGATAATATGTAACATCCAGAAATCATAATAATACCAATACGACCATAATTGGTATGTGCAGTGGTCATTCAATGGGGTTCTGTCACCAAGCACGACTACTCCTCAGCTGTCTCGATGATTTGCTGGAAGTCAAAGGCATGGAAAGCGTAGCCCTCGCCTTTGTAAAACTTGCTCTGGAACTCCACCCTGGAACAGAAAGACGTTCATGTTTGGAGTAAAAGGAAAAAAGTACTTAAAATGTCTTAATGGTAACATATAGCAAAGTTTTTTAAAAAGTCAAACAAAAATATATTGACCAGCATCAATTCAATTTTGTTTATTTTCTCCTTGTATATTATAGGCATGTAATTCTGTGTGCTCAGACTTCTTCAATTAATCCCCAAACTTTGACCAGGATATACAGACACACTTTCCCACACCATGTTATGTGGCACATACTGTGGAGCTTCAATTACTACCATACTAACCAGTGCAAACGCAGAGTGTGCAAGAAAGCAGACAGGCCCTCCATCAACAACAAGATGGCGATGGTCAGCACAACCCAGGCAGCAAAGATAGGAACCAGGATGACACCACCGTAATATCTGCCCTGTCTGAGGCCAATCTGCAGGACCATGTCCCACAAAACTTCAGACAGCTCTGGAAAAGAGACGATACAGAGGATGAATGACAACTCATTTCCATTACTGAGAGTAAATTTTATTTTCAAGACAATCAACACTTGTTCTAGGGACTCGGTTAAAAAAAAAAAAAAACGTTGCCCATTTTTTTCTTTTTTTTTTTCATTGTGAAGAAGAAATTTATCTTTTCAAATTGTACGCCAAGACCAATTTCAAACCAGTTTCTGGGACAGACCCCAGCAATCGTATTATCACAAATTAATAATTATAACAATTAATGGGTCATTTATAATTAACACGCCATTCATTTACGCAGGAAATGGACAGACAGTGGTCTGACCAGACACCTCTAACCATGCTTATAACTTACGTGCGTGGGCCAGGCTGAGAGCCCACAGTCGCAGGTAGGAGGCCGTGTGGGAGATGGTGCCCAGACAATACTCTATAGTGTGGATGGCTGTGTGGATGAACACCTCAGCAAAGTCAAAGTCCTGGCAGTGGGCAATGGACAGATAGATTTATTAGTGAATATACATAAAATTCATTTGTACTCATACGCATGACCAGGTGGATAGATGAACGGACTGAAAAGAATACAGATCTGAAACTAATGTTTTTACTCAAAACCCAGTAAGGTGGAAGGACCCCCAGCTAAACAATACTGGGACCTAATTTCTCCCACAGAAAAACATGTAGAACATTCTTTGCAGGTATCAAAGTCAGCCTGTGACTGATTTCTATCCATTACATCATCTTTCATCAATGAAAAAGCATGAAGGGATTAAAACATTTAAAATTAAGTGTATCAATGTTAATTAATCAAATCAATAACCTTATACCAACTGCAAACATACAAAATGCAGCCATATGTTACTTCTTGCTTTTAAAAGGTTATAAGTTAACCACTATAACAATTAATTGCAAATTTTTTTCATGAGTGGTTTGAACTTATTACACATGCCTTATAATCTACATAACATGCAATAAAATTATCAATTCAACTCAAACTAGATTAAGAGGTAAACATCTGAAAAAGAAAACCAAAATCAATTTCAAAATAAATATAATAAATTGATAAATCAACCCAATAAAACCCACAAACAAGCCATTTCTCTTGTATGTCCATCACTTGTTTAGTACTTTTTTAGGGTATTTTAATGTACACTTCCAGTCTACCATTTCAACATAATTTTAGGAAGACAACAATAATGACAAAGAAAATCAACAAGATAGTGAACATCAATCTGTTCTACTAAAAGGTGCTGAACTAAGTGTGGACATGGAGAAATAACAGGCCAGGGTCAGTTTGCACAAAGAGAACTTTAGACAGTGAGTTGGTCTCATCTTTTTGTCTCAATTTTTTTAGTCACTTCAATTTAGGATACAGATAAGTAGTTCACTGAGATAAATTATTGGTCAAAATCATTAGCCATGATTACTCTTTTTTTAACAGGCATAATATTTCATTTAATTGGACTACAACTGTTTTAATTTGGGTATAAGCAAACTAAATAACTTTTTGCCTAAATGTTAAGACCAATCTCTGTCTAATGTTTTTTTTTGTGAGGCAGGCCCCTGCATACAGAGCCATAATGTAGCCCACTTCAGTATGTACTGTATCCCACTATATATCATATAACCACCACCACTGCAATGACAGATTCAGTCAGCCATGCTCAGCAAACAGCTTGTGTGCTTTAAAAACTTTCAAAGACTTTTTTACAAATTTCCTTTTTCTTTCTTTTTGTAGGTCGGACCATAAAAAATTGGCTATGATTTTGAAAGAAGTGGGTAATGAAAGTTGAGAAGCCAACTTTGGCTGAAAACTGTAAGTCATCCTGGTTTTATAAAACTTAGTCAAGGAGGTGATTTAGAGAGGTATTTGGAAAGGCAGGCAGGAATTTCACAGGATGAAGAACTTCATGTGGTTGGAAAATAACCAATTTGAAAGTTAGAAGAATCTTGGGAAAAATTTGAAAATAACGAGCAAAGATGAATCTGGAAGACTGCACTTAATAGTTGTTTGGCTCCCCTACTATAAAGTAATCAATTTAACACTTAATTTTTTTCTACACTGATTTAAGGGAGGAAACAAACAATAGTAAAATTCATTGTTATTCCAGTAAAAACTAGTGTAAATACTAAATTCTATGCAAAATTCATTACAAGTAAGAGAGTTCAACTTCTACTTGACAACCATGTACTAGGCAATCTCTTGTATAAAAACCTATCAGAGTGATTCAGAATCCTAAGAGTATTTTGATGAAATTTAATATTTCTAGCTAAGACAAACATTTATTTACGTACCAAATTTTCTGTATTAATCACCTATGCATAATGTTACATCTAATATTTATATGAACCTTGTTTTCTGATTTTCAGTGGAAGTAAGCTTGGCAAGCAGATTATCGTAATTATTGAAAAAACCTTCAGGAAATTAAGGGTTAAGTAACACCTCGTAATAGCTATACAAAATTCAAAGCATATATTGTTAAGTAAAAAGTTTTGTTATTAATATAAATGTATGTAAGCAAGCCAAAAATAAATTGTATTATTTGAGTTATGCACAGCATAAGCAAAAAGACTTCTGTCTATTTTGATGATTGTGTCTAAATGGAAAGATGTCTCCCCATCTCTAGGTTTGGATAATCAAAATCTTTAACTGTATGACTTTCAATAATTAAAATGAAAACAATATTTAGTGAGATATGGAAAGTTTTAAGTTCCTAATTGTTGTATAAGAACTTTTGAGGCAATGTGTACTTAATAAATGCATAAGGAAATCAAACTATTTTGTGACAAAAAGGTGTTACTGCAAAGTTAAAAGGAAGCATAGGCTAGCTACCAATTCTCAATCAGGGAATATAAACCGAATTGTATTTGTAGTGTTACGTAGGCTTTATAATAATAATAGTCAAGAGATATTAGTATTACATCACACAGAGAAGAAACAAATCAGGATAAAGTTATCTTCAATGGAAATAAAGGTGGATAAGAGGATTTGTGGTTATAAGTCACAAACAAGCAACAACAATGGAGGCCAAATGGACAAAAAATGAAAATAATTAAAAAAATCGAAAAAAAAAAAAAACATAATGTGACAGCACATATAGCACACACGTTGTTACGTCTGATATGGACTGACCTCCTCCTTAGCGCCCCCTGGTGCTGGCGACCCAGCTCCAGACGTGGACACTTGCACTGCGTCATGGTGGATTATCTCCTGTTCGGAAGTGGTGTCTGCCGGGGCACTTTCTGCCTGTTCCCCATGTTTCTTTGATGCCTAAAGAATCAGCAGCACACCCAGTTAACATCAACCAATAACACTCCCCAGAGATGGTTGCTAACAGCAGACAGTGGGGGTGGGTGAGATGGTTGGGGGTGTGGGTATATTATTTCACAACTCTTTACATATGAGGACTTCCTTTTTTTTCAGCAATTTAGCTAATATGTACCAAATTCAATTCAATGACAAACTGTCAAGAATTATTTCAACAATCAATTTTGAAACCAGTAGAGCTTTCTTGGTTCAGTTAAGCATCATCAAATGCACCCCACTTCCCTAGAGTCACCCCCACCCCCTCAGTGCAGCAGCAACCATCCCCCCCAGTTCCACATAACTACCATCCCCCCAGCACTGTATACCTCCTTAGCTTCATGTGAGGCAAGCGGCGAAGTCTCGTCATGGTGGGTGACTTCACTGTCTGGAGGAGGCGGCTCAGCTGCTGGTGCATCGTGCTCCGCATGTGATTTCTAGTGGTACACAGTTGGTATAATTATTCAGTGTGTGTGTGTGTGTGTGCGTGTGTGCATGTGTGTCACAGTGTAGTCCTCTGCTGCAGGTATAACTATTATGTACAATATATGAATGCAAGTTCAATTAAATAAATAGTGCTCATTTCTATAAATTAAATTCTCCAAACATATTTTTAATTTCAGACTGGATACTCATCTATTTTTTAAATGCACTTTCAAATTATCATTTCCCACATTCTCACTCAATCCGATTTCCTTACAGTCAATAAACAACCTCCCATTCCCATAATCTATATGACTAGTTCAAGGCATGTTTCTTTCCAGCAAATAAATTTCTAATACATGAAACGCCTCAACATTGTCTTAATTTACCATATAAGAAGCCCTGATGGAGGGGCTGAACTTGAGCAGCAGAGGTTTGGTCAGCAACATCCAGGGAACACACAACAGGGCAAGCAGGACTAAGATGATCTGGAATACCTGTTGACCTTGGCCTTCCTGTAATGAAGAAATACATAAGATAAGTTGTATTCTAGGCTCCTCCAAATTTTACGATTTTCTTGGTCACCAGAACAGCAAATAGGATTCCTTAAGGGGTTTTTTATTTTTTAATTTTTTTATATTTTTTTATTTTACACCACTTAATACTGGATATCATCTCAAATTTAAGTATGTACCATTATCAAAGAAAAAAAAAACTTTTAAAACAGAAATTATGATAGTTAAATCAAACCAAATACATGGAGTAGCAGAAACATGTTCATCATAGCTTAATTTTTTACATGTTAAACAGGTGAAAGAGTCAAGGACTTTTTCATTTCAGTGTATGTGTTATTTCTTGACAAAAAGTGCATTAAGTACTCATAGTTTTATATCTTATACAACTATCAGCCATGGATCACCCACATAATGTAATGTGTCACAGTCAGTAAAGGAATTTCACAGAAATGTCTCTCTTATAGAATGCTTTTCATTCAATTCTTCAGAAAGAAAATGACAGAATATAGAAATTTGAAATTCTGAACAGAAATTGCTTATAGACTTGGTTTAATCCTTTCATTATATTATTTTTACTATTCACAACAAACAATGTATCATTTTCATCAATTCTAAAGTTATACAGGTTAATCAACTACGTCTGCATGTACAAATTTTCAAGAATCATTTCTTAATCAAAATAAATTTGTTTACTTCATAAGGAGTAAAAAGAGAAATCTTATTCACTTATTGACAGAGAAGCAGAGAATCATGACTATCAGACAGACATCAGTGTTAACTTTGCAAGGATATGAGCGAGGTGGGTTGCCTCGCTAAAATCAAAAGCCACCCCCTCCCAAAAAGCCACCTCATTGCTAGACATTTTAATACATTTGGTCAGAGACTTTAAATGTAGGATCTACTGATCATCCTTTCCAATTTAATTTGTCAATTTCTTGCACCCCTTTAAACATGCAGTCTACTAAGAAACACTGTAAGAGTGCTTGAAGCTGACATACTGGTCCAAATTTTAACACCCTCTCCCCCTCACGAATCCTGTACAAATAATTGACTTAAGGTGGTAGTTATGTCTCCTGTAGGGACATAATATAAGCCAAGGAAATGTGGGAGGTTTCTGGGTGGATATGCACCTCAACCAGACAGGTATATCAAGGGGGAAAATCAGATAATATTTTGAAGCAGTTTTCACTGCATAACTGCAGTAGAAAACTGTATTATCAATACCTCTTGTGTAACATCACCATTGTTTATAACGAAGAAGCTTGCCTGAAATATGTTTCAAAATTTGCATGGTTATCAATAACTTTCAAAAAATTAAAAATTAAAAAAAAAAAACAGACAATGGACAAACACAAAAATAAACACTGAGCCTACTGCTTAAAAAACAAAGATTAATAAATAAAAATAAATTAACAAACAGATAAAAAACAAATATTCAACAGAACAAACAAATAAAGCATCTTAATAAACACAGCATAGTATAAATGAGTTGCTGGGTCTGTGTTGTTTTCTACTTACAGCTCCTCCATACCAAGTGATAGTACTGCAGGCTGCTTGGCCTCTCTTAGGGTAGGTGAACAAGAACATGTTGATCAACCCTAGAAATAACGACAGAAAAAGACCTTGAAAAAACAACCACTTCATAACCCTAACTATACGTTTTTAATCTTCTGTGGAAGATGAAAACAATGAACTAGTTGAGACAATTGGATAAAACAGAAAAAAAAAACTAAATCAAAGAGTAAAAATAAAGAAAAAAGAAAGTTAAAAGTTCAGATCAGTTTTCAGTTTTAAGAGGTTTGTGAGACCTTGTCCTGGGGCCCGTTTCCCAAAACAACTTAAGCCCAATAATTGATCCAAGCTTCGAGACCCAACTTAGGTTTAATTCACTGACAATCCACAGTAGTCCACTTATACAGTATTGGATTAAAACAATTACCATGTCCCTGCAGTAACAAAACAGCCATAGTACTTATAGAACCACCACCAATTCATCTCGTGTCAAAGTGGACAAAATATAAAGTCTAAAATTTAAGACCAGTTTTCAGCTGGCCATAGCTCTTTTTGTGACCCAGGCTCCCTAGTCTAGCAGTAAAACACACACTAACCAATGAGCAGACTGGGTGCACAGTTGGTGTTCATCCCGTTGTCAATGGCATTGAAGACAAACCACTTGACAAAGACGAGGAGGACCAGGTAGCCGAACATACACAGCAGAAACAGCACCTGAGGAATGAACTCGCAAAATATGCTCAGCTTGTTCTTGAAATGCCTGGAATATGCAAAAATACATACAATGAACAAATTTTATAAAAATAATGAAAATAATTATAAACAAATAAATAAAAAAAAAACACATTAAATGTCTGTGTAAAAATTTTTATACCTGAAAAAAGGCAATATTTTGAATCCTAGACAATAATGACAATCAATAAAACTCCATTATTTCTCAATTTTGTTTTCCTTTTAGGATTACCAATATTATAATTTACACATTAGACAATTAATGTACTGCAGAGAGATAGCAAACATTACAGAATCATTTAGACCGCATAACACTACCATTACTATTTGCAATTATTTCTTAAGCAAAGATGTGAGACAAAACTGTCCCTCCCCCCCACCCATCCTCATAATGACAGACAACTCACATGTGGTTAAACAGTCCTAACCAGACCCCAAACATCATCTGAAACACGCCCATGATGATAGACAGCTTCATCTTAAAGGAGTTGGTGTAAGTGATCTTGTTCTCAGCCAACTGCCATACCTGAAAAATAATGGAAAAGTATAGGTCTTGGGAGTAAATAATTATAGGGATTGTACTGGTCAATTTCTATTTGAAGTAGATGAAGAGGAGTGAAGATGTGTCATATTGAGGGATTCAGTCATACAAGTATTGAAACTCATACAGTTTGCCCTTCTTTACAGAAAGCATCACCACTCAATCATGTACTCATTCCTTAGTCATATTTTGCATCTACTCAAGCCTGCCTGATTTGAGGGTCAATAAGTGCAGTTAGGGGTCAATGGGTGCAACGTGTGGTCAGTGAAAGTTTTCTCACTTACTGGATCTATTCCAAATGGGTAGACCCCCCTGGTAAAGTAGGCTGTCATGTTGGGGTCACCCTGCAGCTGGCTGGGAAAGTGCTTCAGGTTAGTAGTGCCATTCCTGAAACGTTCCAGTTATATAATTAAATATATAAATTATGTGCTCTATATATATATATATAAAGGAAGTTTGACAGATATTAAAGTAAAAATTGTGAGCTAGATTCAGTATTAATTACTAGCAACCTAAACAATGATCAATTTTTCGTTTTTTAGAAAAAGATCAATGCTAACCTTTTCACAGAAAATATTACGCAAAAATAAAAGAATTATTTTGCTACAATGATCATAACCTGTTATGTACAAAATCTTTACTGTATGCTCTCCATTAGAAAACTTACACTACGAATTCACTTTCAGGCACCGTCCAAGAAGAACCAAATATATTGGTGGACCTGGAGAAGATGTCGTTGTAGATCATACCGGAGTAACAGGAGAACAAGCCCATCATCATAATGATGTAACGCCCACCGAAGAACGTGTTTGCAATCTGGAAATACAAGACATTCACTATATGCTATCATTTCTGTTTGGGGGGAAAACATAAAAACAGATAAGCAATGGTAACTAAGTGGTAGCCCCTGTATATGAAAAAATGGACGCTTTCTTATATTTGCACAAGCTTGCCATTTTTTGTGATCATAATAGGGCATGGTATGAAACAAAAAATCTACCTAAAATGATGTCTTTTTAACTTTTTAAACACACACACTAACAATGAAGGAATTTTTCAACTGACTCATTTCCAACTATTTGTTTCCTGACAGAAAACCTCACCTCATCATCCAACTTGGAGGCCATGATCTGTTTCTCCTTGATGACGAGAACCAGGGCAAACAGGAACATAACGAACCCGTGACCTGCGTCTCCAAACATGAGAGAGAACAGAAAGGGGAAGGTGATGATGGTATACGGAGCTGAAATAAAAGACAAGAACGTAAACAATCCACGGCCTGCATCTCCAAACATGAGAGAAAAGGAAAAGGAAAGTGATGGTGATAAAATTAACTGAAAAATGTTAAGAAGAAAACAAAGAAGTCAAAACTTGCATCCCTAAACAATAATAACAGGAATATAATTGATTATTACCCTCACTGGCCTTATTGTAATTATTATTGTCATAATGATTGTCATAAGCATGTTTATGATTATCATTCCATCTATTTTTAGTATTGAATTTAAACATGAGAAGGTGGTGAACAATATAATGGTGAGATTTAATATTACATAACATGCCTTTATTACATAATAGATATATTAGATTTCAGTGAATACATACTTGGGTTCATCTCCCCGTATGTGTTCACACCATAGGCATCAATGATGCTCTGAAAGGCGCCAGTGAACTTGTTGGTCTTGTGGTAGGTGGGAGGCGCCTCCTTGGTGGTCATACGGTTCAGGATAGATGGAACACTGCTGCCACTGCGGTCCTGAGGTGCCACAAATACAAACAATTAAGAGCTCAGTTTAAGCAAACTGTGATAGCTCTCAATGTAATATGCGGATGAGGTAAAGAATATAGGCCTTGGCCGTCTCTGTGCCATTTATTTACTCGTTTTTGTCATTTTTCTTTTTTGATTTTTTGAGCTGTTGGCTCAGAAAACTTGATAACTTTTCTTCTTCATAGGAAATATTCTGAAATCTAAATCTTAACTCTTAAAAGCATTATCTTTTAATTCAAACCTTTGTTTCAACATGTCTTATATCACACATGAGGCACTGAGACATGAGCAGTGCCACTTTTAACAAAATAAATCATCATTATTAGTGACAGCATATCACTTACAGGCAAAGACAAAATCACACAATCGATTTACACATAATCACATGAATACAATCATGGCTACATAACACTTCATTAAAGGCTCAGGCTGAATTCCACAAGAGATTCACATAAATCCTGCACTATATATAATCCAGTGTCTGTGTAACACTTACAGTGCCCCTCCTGAGGGCCAGCTGTATCTTGTCCAGTTCAGCCACTGGACACCAGCACTCAGCAATCAGACACTTCTGGGTGACGTCCAGGTTAAACATGTTCAGGGTGTGGTAGATGGCCTTGATCTTCTTCACCTTCACAAACCAGTTCTTGATGTTCTTGGCGGCAGCCACCAACACACGGTGGCGGTGGTCCTGGGTTTGACCAAGAACCTGAGGGGTAGGAGAGCAAAAACAATAGTCTTTACTAATTAATTAATCAACCAAGCCATTAATACTCTGTGTACGTTAGTCACCCAGTGGGTTATCACATAAAAGAAGTTTTCTTTAATCGATACTTATATTGTAAAGCCAGGATGAAATTTTTATAACTCCCTTTATCAATTAATCAATTAATTAATAAAATACCCTTTCAGCAATTTAGTACAATAAAAACATCCTATAGCCACAATCTGTCTTTGTTCCATTGAGACCACTTCACATTATTTCTGGTGAATTTTTCAAGTCCAGAATCAATGCCTCATTGTCCACAGTTTACCAGCAGAGATATACTTACAGTGTTCAAGTCCTCAATCCGTGTCATCACCCCAATAGCCATCTCTCTCCTCTCTGCTGGGGTCTCTGGACATGGGTACAGAGTGGCACGGAAACTGGAAACAGAATTATGGAATGGTTTTCAAACTAAACAGAAAACAGTCAACAGTCTGCTGTATAAGCCACCAGTCTGAAGCAACGGACTTATAAATCTAGTGCCGTACTGATCATTATAAAAGAGAAAGGTATACAGACCAAATAATAACTTACTGCAGGCTGGCCTTGGTTTGCAAAATGTTATAATTATATTAAGACTACTCACCCCTCACAGATTTTCTTCACTCTGCTCTTCAGCTGGTCTCCTTGGAAGAAGATGATGAAGACAGACTTGTTAACTTGATCTCCCTGCAATGCAAAATACATTTTCATAACTGGAATACGAGAGACNTGATTATTACCCTCACTGGCCTTATCGTAATTATTATTGTCATAATGATTGTCATAAGCATGTTTATGATTATCATTTTATCTATTTTTAGTATTGAATTTAAACATGAGAAGGTGGTGAGCAATATAATGGTGAGATTTAACATTACATAACATGCCTTTATTACATAATAGATAGATATTAGATTTCATTGAATACATACTTGGGTTCATCTCCCCGTATGTGTTCACACCATAGGCATCAATGATGCTCTGAAAGGCGCCAGTGAACTTGTTGGTCTTGTGGTAGGTGGGAGGCGCCTCCTTGGTGGTCATACGGTTCAGGATAGATGGAACACTGCTGCCACTGCGGTCCTGAGGTGCCACAAATACAAACAATTAAGAGCTCAGTTTAAGTAAACTGTGATAGCTCTCAATGTAATATGCGGATGAGGTAAAGAATATAGGCCTTGGCCGTCTCTGTGCCATTTATTTACTCATTTTTGTCATTTTTCTTTTTTGATTTTTTGGGCTATTGGCTCAGAAAACTTGATAACTTTTCTTCTTCATAGGAAATATTCTGAAATCTAAATCTTAACTCTTAAAAGCATTATCTTTTAATTCAAACTTTTGTTTCCACATGTCTTATATCACGCAAGAGGCACAGAGACATGAGCAGTGCCACTTTTAACAAAATAAATCATCATTATTAGTGACAGCATATCACTTACAGGCAAAGACAAAATCACATGAATACAATCATGGTTACATAACACTTCATTTAAGGCTCAGGCTGAATTCCACAAGAGATTCACATAAATCCTGCACTATATATAATCCAGTGTCTGTGTAACACTTACAGTGCCCCTCCTGAGGGCCAGCTGTATCTTGTCCAGTTCAGCCACTGGGCACCAACACTCAGCAATCAGACACTTCTGGGTGACGTCCAGGTTAAACATGTTCAGGGTGTGGTAGATGGCCTTGATCTTCTTCACTTTCACAAACCAGTTCTTAATGTTCTTAGCAGCAGCCACAAGCACACGGTGGCGGTGGTCCTGGGTTTGACCAAGCACCTGAGGGGTAGGAGAGCAAAAACAATAGTCTTTACTAATTAATTAATCCACCAAGCCATTCATACTCTGTGTATGTTAGTCCTCCAGTGGGTTATCACATAAAAGAAGTTTTCTTTAATTGATACTTATATTCTAAAGCCAGGATGAAATTTTGAAAACTACCTTTATCAATTAATCAATTAATTAATAAAATACCCTTTCAGCAATTTAGTACAATAAAAACATCCTATAGCCACAATCTGTCTTTGTTCCATTGAGACCACTTCACATTATTTCTGGTGAATTTTTCAAGTCCAGAATCAATGCCTCATTGTCCACAGTTTACCAGCAGAGATATACTTACAGTGTTCAAGTCCTCAATCCGTGTCATCACCCCAATAGCCATCTCTCTCCTCTCTGCTGGGGTCTCTGGGCAGGGGTACAGAGTGGCACGGAAACTGGAAGCAGAATTATGGAATGGTTTTCAAACTAAACAGAAAACAGTCAACAGTCTGCTGTATAAGCCACCAGTCTGAAGCAACTGACTTATAAATCTAGTGCCGTACTGATCATTATAAAAGAGAAAGGTATACAGACCAAATAATAACTTACTGCAGGCTGGCCTTGGTTTGCAAAATGTTAAAATTATATTAAGACTACTCACCCCTCACAGATTTTCTTCACTCTGCTCTTCAGCTGGTCTCCTTGGAAGAAGATGATGAAGACAGACTTGTTAACTTGATCTCCCTGCAATGCGAAATATACACATTTTCATAACTGGAATAAGAGAGATAATGAAGAGTTGCAAATTCTACATAAAATATGCCCATCTCATTACTAGCATTTGCAAGTTTGATAATGTCACTTAATAACTAACAAAAACTGTATTCAAAGTTGTGAAAAGTAAGTTTTTAAGTATTTCAAATGGCTTCTTTGATAAGTTGTGAAAAGGTCTTATATTTATATTTTTATTCACTTTAAAGAGTTAACTTACAGATACAGGGTCCTCCAGAGGGGTTTCGATCTCTGCCTGCTTCAGGAACACGTTGCCACGGCATACTCTCCACAACATGCGCTCAAACGCAGGGATACGCTCGCGCAGGATGACACCAGCAACAAACCTAGAAATGTGCATAAACTTCATAAGGGCCACTTGTACTTTTTCAAAGTTATTTTACTACTACCTATTCAAAGTAACATGATTATAGATAATGGCTTGGTTTAAAATGCATGAAATTATGCTTTTATCATTCAAGGCTGTTTGCTTTATATTCCATTATATATTCCATATATCAACCACATACCTGACTTTTATCTACAGGAAAATGATAGACAATTACAAAAAAAAAAAAAAAAAAAAAGAAAAAAAAAAAAAAGATATTCTGTGTTCACTTCCACAATTGTGTGCAGAATCTAAAAATCACCATTCACAATACCACTCACCTGTGTATATCCTGTCTTTCATTTAGCAATTTTTACTCAAATACAGTATTACTTACCTTTATTACATCCGAGTAACAGAAATTTCCTTCGTCTTTTACCCCACCCCCTCCCTAAAATATGACTGAAGCCACCACAAAAAGAAACGGCTGTAAGAGGGACATTTACAATACCAGTTTGGACAAATGCATTTTAAGGGACAAAATCTATAGCAGGACTTGTCATATAAGAAATAACAGCTTTATTTTTGGAATCTTTTCAAACTTTTCAACATGTTGCCTAAAAAGAATACATCTTTTGAGTTTCCAAACAATACTTAACTGTATGAGCCTCCAAATAAAAACTGACACCTTATGTTGAAAATGCATTTTTAACAACAGATACTGCCCCCTTAACAAAAACTAAAACTGGTATGCCCCTGTCCAGTCCAGATCACCTACCCCAGTTGTAGGGGGGCTGCCACGGCCGAATGCTGGTCACTTGTGGCCAGGGCCTGCTGAGCATCTTCAACAATACTATGATGCTCGTCCTGCCAAACAGAACACAAAACAAAATAGAAGTCAGCTGAACTGAGGCAAAGAACTAGCATTTTGCTGATGTTTTTTTTTTCTTTTTTTTTATTTAACCTAATCAATGGTGAGCAAGGAACTCTATTGCCATGGCAACTGGTTGCTAGGCAGCAGGTCACCCCTGATCTTTTGCTATAATATCTGAAATATGTAAAAATTCACTGGGGCATCTTAACTATAAAGGCAGCCTAATACTAAAGACTATGGTTAGGTACTTTATTGTTTGTTTCTTTAGTGGTCATTATGGCTTCTTTGGTTTTGGAAATTTGGAGCAATGATGTGAAGAGTGGGCATTGCTTCAGTTGCATTGTATTTCCTTGTACTGTTGTTGTCATTGTGTTGATGTTAATATCTATTGCTGTCATTTTCATGAACCAAAGTGCATTTTATCTATTATCATATTACAGTATTATGTATATATGCAGAAGAGGAGGACAGGGGAATAAAGGGGGTGGGGATTTTGTTTAGATATGGTTTTCGTAATTTAAAGGAATATTAGTGTAACAGTTGTTGTTGTTGGTAGGTAGTGGGACTGAACAGAGAAAAATCAACTGTATAAAGCATTGTGCAAAGGATAAAGATATGTGCAACAATGGCTAATAGGCACACTAGTGCAAAGCAGTGCAGATAAATACTGATCAACGTGGTGCTATAAAATTAAACACTAGATGTATAAAACAAAACAAAAACAAACATACATAAGCAAACTTCTTCACACAAACTACAATCTAGTCTCAATAGCAAGTGTGCCAAATAGATAAATATAATAAACATTCATAATCAAATTAACTATCATGAAGGCTTATGTCAGGCAACAGTGATGACTAAACTCCTGGAAATCTCCCCAATATGTTGGAGAACCAGGTAAATTATCATGATGAGACATGCAAATAATAATAATAATAATAATAATAATAAATAATAATTAATAATAATGAATCCTGTGGACTTAGATGTCCACTAAGGTTGCTATAATTCAAAATGCAGTGTCATCTATCACAGATAAAAATCTGTGTGTAGATAACCAAGAAAAACCCAATACATGCAGTGCTATCTGCTTAATTGAGTTACTGGTACTACTGCAGGTGGGTTCTGCAAATTTAATTACGCCTGTAACCAGCAATTTCAAAAATGGGGGGGTATTTTCTGTTAAAGTGGACCTTTAACTATATTCCCCTTGCTCTTATGTTTGATTGGACTATTAATTAACTTAAGAACAATACTTGGGATATCTCTTTTTTTTTCCACTTTCACTCTTAAATAGGATTGGAAAGGGGACATCAGACAATTAAAATACAATCCGTGAGAGTTTCAAATCACACCTGTTGTCCTTTTTTAATGCAATGTGCCAAATCTAAAATGGGGTGGAAATAAAACTATGAAAATTGACTTGAAACTGAAACACAAACTAGAACTAAACTAAAAATGGGGTAAAAATGTAGCAAGAGCTTTCCCTGTAAGCTGTTAAACAGTGCTATGGTTGTTTTCATCCCAACTTAACTGAAATGTTTAAGTAAAGCTTGCAATTTAAAGGAAACCAAACCTGGGTGTAACAATAATTTTTCAATTTTTGTGTTGCAGAGCTTCCCCCATGTAAAGTGCAAAAACTTCATTGTGATTGGAAATGAAAAACCCAGGTGGAAATTCAGCTGTGACTGGTTGAAGTCGAGATTGAAAGAGAAATGTAACGATGTGTGGGGTGCAATCACGTGCTAATCAGTATATCAAGTTATGTGGCTATCATTCATTTTCTTCTATGTTAAGAGATATTTGATAGAATTTGTTTACGTAAATTAAAGAAGTGGAGGTGGGGTGGGTGATATTTCACAAATAAGAAAGAAATCAATTGTTTTTCTCTCTCATGGTGTTGTTACAACAAAAACCATATCTAGACCCCTTTTAGAGACACGCATGCAGAAGCCTAAGAAAGCTATAAGGAACTGCCCAGTTGAACAAGTCAAATGTTACAGCGCAGTGTGATAAATGAGAGTGCCAGTTAGTGAAAATTCAGTGCTATGATCAATCCACACCATTAATAAAATACACAATCAGCAAAATGCTTGTTCACCACCGTATACTACCCGTTAAGTTTATGCCACTGTGCTGCCATCTAGTGTCCATGGAGTAGGTGACTCAAACCAGACATATCTTTTTCTCTCTCTCTCACACACACACATGCTCTACAACCTAGAACTCTCTTGCTCCAAACTGTCCAGGTTTCCTCACCCTAAACGCAAGGCCTGTCCCCCTGCGCGCAGACCTTCTTCACCCAGCAATCCCATTGTTTCTTCTGTCACCCCAGGGTCGTGCATTGCCTGTCGTTGATGATGTTCAGCCTGGTGAGGAACAATAGGTGGCGCCCTGTGTAGTCACCCCTCCCACGAACTCAATACAAACTCAACTCAATAGGGGGAGTAAACACACAAGAGGAACTGAACATAATTACAATGCACTCAAGATCTGGAAGAGCTACACTCTCAAACTAGATAAGCTAAATAAACAAAGCTCTTGTTGTTCTCATGGTGCAGCAAACAGCATAAAAACAACAATAACAACAAACAAGTGCAAAATGTGCCTCTGAACCTATTTGTTAAAATATATGGATGCTTTGCATTGTTCTAGCAATTTCAAAATTTTTGACTTTGTTTCAATTTAAAGACAAGAAATTATAACCGCCTGTAAAGTTTTCAGAAAACTGAAACCCAAAACTAAAATTACAATGTAAACATGGACAAGACACATTTTGAATCAGATATGGTTTATATTTAAACACAGTATAAAAGAGAAGCTGGTCAAACTCGGACTTTACTAAATGGTAGAATTTCACATGCATGACTTTTCTCATTTACTTTAAAAAATCCTTCATGCAAAAATGCAAAATAAAAGACATTAAGAAATTTTGGAATTTGAGAAGTGATTTTGCTGAGCAGCTTTTCTCTTGTAGCAGCAATGCTTTAGCTCTTATATGATTATCTAGATTTTTACGTCTATAAAATATGCTTGTAACATATAAGCACACAAATATATGTCAATAATATATAAAAGCAAGAATAATATTGACTAACTTAATTCCGTTTTCCTCCATGTTTTTATCAACAAATGCATTTTTGAAAATTTTGTTCTTCCCTCAATAAAAAAAAGGTGTGTTTGTGTGTACACACACACACACACACAAAATGATAAAAATAATTTCAGACAGATCACATTATTTCCTGCTTTTGACAACATTATTCCTTTTTCTTATTCTGCAGCAAAAAAATATAGAGCATGCACCAGCAACTAGCATAATTATACAATTCAAAATCTAGGTCTAGCACTGCTATGAGAAAGGGACAAGGTCATACATGGTACACAAACATTCCCTCTACAGAGGGGCATGCATATTTGATAACAACACAGTAAAGCATGCATCTGGTTATGAAACACCAATGGGTACCCAGGTTCCTGGAAAAGGAATTTTTTCTTTCATGCAAAAGAAGGTACAAGTTGTGAGGTATCCTTTGCATGTGGCAAGGTGTGTATTGGGTAAATTGTCTTAGGTCGATGCTTGCTTACTGTGCGCGATGAGAGCTGTAAAGCATTTTCTTAGATTGAATTCAGTGTAAATTTGGAACTTTGACCAGTAAATCAATCATTTGGAGCTACACTTAGAGCCTGCATGGCGGCCTCAGAATAAATAAATAAATAAATAAATAAATAAACATGACAGCAATTATTGTATAAAGAAAAGTTAACATAAAATGCTTGTGAACTGCTATCATCTATTGCCATGCCAAAGTAAACAGACAGTAGAAGAGGTCAAATTGTGCAACAAAGCAGCCAGATGAAAAAAATTTTCATGAAAACATTTGCGAACAAAGCCAGTTACATGTAGCAAAAACATTTTAGAGAAGGCCCACATAAGCCCTGCATATGCAAAAGGTCTAATTAGCTACAATTATAACATTTAGACAAAACAAAAATATGTATAGGGTCAGTTCCCTTTATTCTGCACATGCATAAAAAGACCACTGACCCAAACAAGCCTAGAGAAAATAATATTTTTTAAACGGCTTGGATACAATTGAAAGAAAAAATTTGCATTGAGCATTTCTCAAGACCCACAAGTGTTGAGACACGAATGTCAAGATGACAGCTGTGTGGTGAACAAGCATTTCATTCACTGGCATACCTGTACCTCTTTACCTTCCAATTTTCATTCGCAGCATCCCAAAGATACGTTATCCACAGATTGACTTTGACAAACTCTGCATAAGCTGTAATACTTTGGCATGAGATAAAATAAGCAGATAAAAAATGACTGCCTGGGTACACGTATGCAAATACGCGTGCTTGTGTGTGTGTGTGTGTGTGTGTGTGTGTGTGTGTGTGTGTGTGTGTGAGAGAGAGAGAGAGAGAGAGTGAGAGAGCGAGACCAGCAATAACATACCTTAATATATTAGACAGAATGAGGTATGATAAATCAGGGTTTTCTAAAGAGTATTAAAGAAGCATGGAAAAAGTAAATCAAATTTCTTGAAATCCATCAGATGTTGCTATGAAGATTTTTCTCTTATATTTGGTTTGGCATTACAGAAAAAAAATGTCCTTGTTGTCTGTATTTGTCACTTTTTGTGCAAAATGTTGGTTGTAAGAAAGCAAAGCAAATGGCAAGAAATTATATTATGCAAGTGGAAAATATTAAAAGGAAATATAAATGACTTCAATAAACTCAATACAATTACTTCAAAACTGAAATAGAAAACCTGGAACAGGTAAAATCTGAAGTGTACTGCAAAAAGTGTTCACTAGGACCCTGCTCCTAATCAAGCTGCAGTGCTCTGCTGAAACACATATACCAAGTGAAATCAGCACTGTGATAAGCTCTCTCTCTCTCTGATGATACAAAAAATGATATACATATGCCATGCACACATGTCAACCTCGCTATCTAAACACTTTAAACAAGTACACACGAACAGAAGCACTCACAACATTAAACAAAGTACAGAGACCAGTCTAAACGAAATGCAGAACCAAGTAAGTCTAAGGAGTGCAACTAATACTGCATAGTCTAACAAGACAGCTGTAGGTTAGTGATAGCCATAAACCCTTCCCATCTTCTAACCACCTGTGGCACACATACTGCTTATCACCAGGATGACAGGTTATTATAGATATATTGTGAACTTAGCAATGATCTAGCCTGCAGAGAAAGCAGCAGCACATGGTTAATACAGCATCAAGTAAGGAGAAGACAGCCTGTACTGTTTGCATGTAGGGAAGGAAAGAATAGGCCTTTCTTCTGTTGAACAAGTCTTTTCTCTTTTCTTATACTCCATAACTTAATAAATATTTACACAATTTTGCTGATGAAAGTATTAAAAATAGCACATGTATTAATCTAAAATGCACTTAAACTTCCATTTTTGGAAAAAAATCTATGGCGTGGCCATGTTATAGTTAAACATCAATATCATTAAATTTGTTTTTTGATAAGGCAATGAAGTGTAAAATTCAGCTTAGAATGCACAGAACATGAACAGTTCAATTGGAATGCCAAAACCTATTCATCTTCAATGTTCACTTACTCACAGTATATGGATAAAATAAATTTACTCTGAATTATCAAAATGAACCTCCTATAATCAAAACACAGGGCTCAAGTTTGGAGTAAGGCTTTGTGATTAGCTAAAGTTGATATACAAACCTCCTCAAAGAATCCCTGTGTCTTCCTGAGGATATGCTTCAGCTCAGTAAGCTCCAGGTAGTTTCTCTTCAGAGCCTCGGAGTTGGCATTAACCTCTTTCATCTCGTTTTCCAGCTTCTCAAAGGTGGCCTGAAAATACAGATGGTTATATATGGTCCTGGTGGTAATATAATGCATCGAAGACATGCAGGGCAAGATTTACTACATACAGGAATAATACTTTCACAACAAAACCACAACTGTGACAGGCACAAGTTGCCCAGCTATCTAAATTACAATCTATCTGAACTTTTCAGAAACTTGAAGAAATATGTCCATTCCCATCTTTTTAAACAAAATTACTTTTAAAGCTTTTTTTTTCATAATAGACAATTAATAGTACATATCTAACTTCTAATAGTACATATTTAACTTCAAGTCAATATTATAGAAATTTGCACCATAAAACAAATGCAATAGTTTATTTAATTGCACAACTTCTTTTTCTCGTATCAAAGCGGGCTAAAATTTTGGCCTTAACGTTAAGACCAACATTTGGTCTCAAGTTCCCTCTGTGAAACCTGTCCCTGGTACCTCAAGGTCAATCATCTCCCTGGGTGCCGGGGCCTCGGGATTGTCCCCAGTGTCTAACATCGGGATCCCATCTTTCTTGATCTCTTTCTCAAGGAATCCTGAAATTATCACATTAGTTATTCGTTAATTTGTTACGGAGATTTTGGTCAGTTATCATTTACTTAGCAAACACTGCTTTCTGCTTAATTTTTTTTTTAATTTATCTGTACTTATCTCTCTCTACTTGTTGAAATTTTGAGATTGGTCATGTCTGAGCTTCAAATCTAAATTGCTATAATTCCTATAAATAAAATTTCATAATTTATTTTCATCTTATATGAATTAAGAGCATACTAAGTTTTCTCTCCATTTCATCACATCTTCTGACTTCATTTACAAACTTCCTCTGGAAGGCATTCACATCCGGATTCAACTGAAATGAAAAATAAATAAAGATAGATAGAAAACATCCACAACAGACTGAGCTCAATTTCAAGCATGCCAGGTATGCATGGAAATATATTTAATATTTTTTCTCAAACTCAAATAATAATTCATTTATAATATCCCCCATGACTTTTTTCCACATTGCCTTTCAAATTAAGCATTTACAATTTTTATAATCATTATTTCTACATGAATCTTAGGTGAAACCAGCTCCAGCTTTTAACACCAGCCAGAAAAAAATAACATGACAGATATGTAACCTTTTGATTGTACATTATATTTAAATGATTATATGGCTGCAATTAATTAAGATGCCTTACATCTCTGAACTGCACCAATCCCAGCTCTCCTAACTCCGACACACAAGCATATGCTGCCTCAGACTGGAGGAAGAGTTGACACAAGGTCATCTCTTCACTTCGGAATAGCGTCCCCATCCTGAAGCTTTGGAACCCTTACTTCTGAAATAAGGAAAACTGATTTTGTTGTATAAAATGTATTCAAAGTTTCTTCAAGATAGAGAACTCGGTATGATTACTACATCATGGTGGTAATTCTTCGCTTCCGTCATTGCCAAACTAGATTTTTTTTAATTTGAAAAATATGCCAGATTTGCAACGGTTTCATTACAAGAAATCCCTCTTATCACATATCCCATAAAAATAAGAAAATATATGACTTCTTTTTAATTTATAGTCATCTACTAGGCCCGTAGCCAGCAATTTCAAAAGGGGGGTTCTTTTTCTGAAAAAGTGGACCTTTTCCCATGAAAACTTCATATACCTAGATCAAGTTTTACCCAGAGTGGACCTTTTCCCAGCAAAAGGGGCGGTTCTTTCGAACCCCCCGAGCCCCCCTGGCTACGGGCCTGTTAGACTACATTTAAAGTACTTCACTATTTTCAAAATGCTACTTAAAAATTTGCAATTGACCGGCGACCGACTCGTGACATGACTAAATTGCAACAGAGGGCAACATTTATCTGCAAATTGTATGAAATTCCAAAGATAGAAATTACAATTACTGACATCAAGCTCAAATTAGACACTTTGTGATCATAAAAACAGAAAATTTTACCTTGGACACTCTCTATATTCTGTACAATAACCGATTTTTTAGACCGACTCCCTTCCTTCAAATTTTTCACAGGATATCGATTTGTCTCGTGACTGAAGTGACGTCATCATCACTCACTCACCTCTGTGACCTTGAGACTAAAGATGGCTTATATCTATCCTGATTTAGTGAAAGAATGATTAAGATTATAGAATATAACGATGAAAATTAAATAAAATATACTGAAGAATATCTATGTTGTATTTTCATAAAGTTACCTTTCAAAGCGGAAGTCAACTGCGGGACAGATTTTTAATGGCGGCTTCCTTCAAAGTGGAATAGCCAACAAATCCCTAACTAAAGTTCGTAATTTTTGGACGGTTTCTGAAGTTCAAAATACGTCACAATTTCCGGAAAGGTTGATTATCACTTGAAGTTCATTGCAGCTAATGATTTATGAAACAGATGTGTTGTTTTTCATGCATATTTATTTAAATCGTAGCAGACGAACTTTACTACGAGTTTTTCGCATAATTGGCATTTATGTCTGACGTGGTTTAGCAACCGACTAAAAGCTTTCATGTTTTTTTAATCAAGTTGTCTCATCACAATGGCTGTAATACCCCCAGACATATGTTTCAACCTTGTGTTGAATGGACTGACCAAACCAGCTGTGTTTAGAGGCATGACCAGGTCGTGGTCAGCTAGTGGTTGGGACTTGAAGTCACTGTCCAGTCTTCTGGGGGACAAAGTGGTACAGTTTAGAATTGGCCCAAATTCTTGGGATACCAAAGGTAACAAGTTGTAAATGCCTTTTAAAGGTAATCAAATAAATGTAGCGCTTCTGCATTAATTAAAAATTGACTAAATTTACAGTGAATGTAGGTTAAATTTTTTTTATTGTGATAATTTCAGCATTTCGCCTTCCCTTTAAAAGGGAAAATACAATATCTCAACTTCAGCAGCTATTTAGAGAATGAACTATTCATTGGCTAAAATTGCTCACTGATGACTTTTGTGATTTTAATGGTGTACATTGTCATTTTATCAGTGCTATGGGAATCAGACTGCTGTTATGAGGAAGCCACAGTGCAAGATTTCCAAGAATGGTTAAACCAGGGAAAAGAAGGCCATGCCAACAATCCTTTGCTGAAGTATTCTTCCAAGAACACTTGGGCCTATGCTGACTATAAATATATGGCTGAAATGTTTGCAGACCAACCTGAAGTGCTGAAGGTATGAGAAGACCTAAATTATTTCAAGAAGTGGTATGGAGGAGAAAAATAGTGTTGAATAGCCCAGAAGAGTTGATGAAAAAAAAAATCAAGAATAAAGATTCTTAATACCTTTAATTTATTTAAAGTATGTTTTAGAATCTAATTAGGCAATCAAGTTAAACAATGCATGTAGAGACTACCTTCTACCAGAAAGTAGTTCCAGTTTGGGTTACTCTCCTTACGTGAATTATGTAAAAATGAAATGTGTTGCAATATGAACTGTTCTATAACTGAGAATTATGTTTCCATATTCCAGGCAGTGAGCTGGGAAGTGTTTGGGTTTCCTGACAGAGATGGCGCTCAGAGTACACTGTGGATGGGCAGCTGTGGGGCGCACACACCTTGCCACTATGACACATATGGCTGTAATCTTGTGGCACAGATCAAGGGAAGGTAGCTAACATTTTTTTAAACTTCATGTACAAAGAACAATGTTTTGTAGAAGTTTAAAGTTGTCCCTAAAATTGATATTAGCACACTAGGTATTAGCTTGCAAGTTTCATTATACAGTTTTAAAATTTGGTATTTTTGATATTTCATGCACAGCTCTGTAACATACTACAGTAACTGTGCAGGCTACTTGTGTTGGACATACAATCATATCAGTTTACAAACAACTGCTCAGATCTGTTGAACACAGTCTCTTCCAAGATCTGCCTTTGCATTGTATATGAATATATGTACATTCCAGGAAAAGATGGTTCCTGTTCCCCCCTCACAGCACCCTCTATCCTACCAGGGTGCCATACGAGGAGTCCAGTGTGTTCAGCCTGGTCAATATAAAATGCCCAGATCTCAAGAAATTCCGAGATTTCAAGGTGAGATGTGAAATATAAGAGAGCATCAATAATTATTGGCTATGAAGGATGATTGTAGTATTAGCATTGGAACTATTACGAAGGAAAAATCTTAAAGCACTAGTAAAATTTCAAATAATAAATATTTCATGCCAGTGGGATTGTACAATGAACTCATAATGCTACTTGACCAAAACAATGAAAACACTGTGGTATGGATATCAAATAATTATAGCTATTCAGTTAGTATCTACTATGTTACAACAGTAGCACTGAATCCAGGGGAATTGTTGCTTGTGCCCAAGCAGTGGTGGGACAAACTAAGAAATATCCAATTCAGTTTTAATATAGCTATATTTTTATTTCAGAACTGCCAGCCCTACATAGTAACACTAAATCCCGGGGAAGTGCTGTATGTCCCCAAGAAGTGGTGGCACTTTGTAGAATCTTTGGACACCAGTCTCAGTGTCAACACCTGGATTGAACTGGTCAGTATACAGTCAATGTGAGGTCAGTGTAGCATTGGTCAGTTATTTGCCAGACAATCAGAATAAATTCCTGGTACAAATAAACCTTCTCATTAAGTGTTTGTTTGGTTATAGTGACCTGAAGACTGTATTTCACTGGTATACCAGTGGTGGTACAAATTCAGTATAACCGTATCTTATTTTATTATCATTCTTTGTTTATATAATTATTTCTATTTCAGCCCAGTGACACAGAAGTCAGAATGGAAGAAGCAGTGGTAAAAATTCTGGTTTCTTCTGTAATGCTGCAAACAGAGGAGGATTCCACATCCTGGTTAAATCCCACTGAGGTATTGCATTTATTTCAAGTCTTGGTTATTTAATAAGTAATTTGAACAGAATTATAAGGAAATAAATAATTTAAAGTGAAATGAACCAAATGTGTTTAGATATCCATATATCTGTGCCATGTCAATTTTTCAAATTAAAAAAAATTAATGCTGTCGTATGAAAAAAAAACTGATTTTTACCTACACAGGAACTGTCAGGCCATTCCGTGAACATGCAATACCTAAACCATGTGTTAGTTGAAGTCACTAAATCTAGATCAGCTGCAGCAAGGGTCCCGGGGCTCAAGAGAAAGTTTACAAAGTCTTCAGAGCTAGATAGAAGAAAGCAAAATGTCAACCAAGCAGTGGAAGGTAAGAAGTTCAAAAGGGGGTGTGATGCAGATGAGACCCCTCCAGTTTGTGTATCCTGTGGTCTGGGGTTACCTTGGACAGAGGCAGGGGATGGTCAGTTGTGTCAGTGTGAAAATGAGCTTCCTCTGACTGGACCTGGTGACACAGATAAAACAAGTGCAGAAAGAGAGACCTTGCCTTCTCGAAATATTAAAGAAATAAAGGAATCTGCAACTATTTTGGGCAGTTCTTGTACTTGTACTCACCCAGGAATGGGTATTGACTGTGGAACTCATTTTCAAGAGCATATAAATGGAAGCATCATGGAAATACTGGAAAAATACAAAGATCATGTACATTTAGTGCAACCAACAACATTTGAAGAGTATTTGGAAATTATCAAGCATGGAGTGTTTGAGAGTTCGAGTGAAAATGAGAGTGTTTTAAGTGAAAGTGAGACTGAGGCTAAAAAGGAAAGTGAAACAAAAGATGAAAGTATTACTGACAAGGCATGTTTTACCATGACAAGTGAAGTACAGTGTGACAAGAAAATGTCAGTGAGGACTGGGATGGACATTGCTGATAGAGAAATAAGAGGACAAATTGCCAGCAGGGTAACCACTGAAGATTTTGTCAATGCCATAACACATCCAGATGCAATAGCTTTAATCTGTAAGCATCTCATAAAAAGTAAAAGTACTTAATGATTTTGAAAAGAATTAAGATAAAGAAAGGGATTGAAAGTTTAATGATTCAGAAATAGAAATTCAAGGATAAAGAGGGGTTAGTTGGTTCAGTTTTGAAAAATACTTTTCAGTCTGTCATTCAATATGGATCTTTATCAAGGCTTCTGTTGGTGTGAATAATGTTGGTGATATATAGGCCTAGCATGACAAAAATATAATTGCAATAATGATAATAAAACCCTAAAATATTTGCTCTGCATTATTATTTCTGATACTGATTCTAGCAAATTTGATAAGACAAGTTACAGGGAGTTATGGCTACAGGGAGTACTGTGAAGTGTAATGTAACTTATGGTTTGATCAACTGTTGTCAAAACTTTTGTCTAACGTTTTTCATAAATAGGAGAAAAAGTGGCCTGCTAGATATTCATTAAGTTATGCACATGGTAAGACTTAATAGCCTTAAAGGTTGTAGTTGTCTCACAGTGCATGCTGTTGAGATATTAATTGTTACATTGAAGGCACACCTAACACAGTCATGTTCTGATGAAGACCATGAATGGTATCATTTCCATGGGGAATGTATATCCTTGTCCTTCTGAAATGTAGACAAGTATTTCTATAACCTCCTCCTTTGTGGGATGTGTGCACCCCCCCCCACCCCCCCCCCACCCCCCACCTCCCCAAGAGTGTTGAAAACACCTAGCTCATGTCTCTATTGGCACAACTACTGTAACATTGGTATCTCACCTTTCAATCTCTCCCCTACAGTAAAAGAAAAGTTTTAAAAAATTACATGTCTGTATAAGACCAAGATTCAACATTTTAGCCTCAAAACAACATATGATAAAGCTACCAGCATTTACCACATTGGCCATGGGTGTGCACTGTATAATGAACCTATCACTTGCCATGTGTCATTATAACTGATGTTTGTCATTCCCTAGGCAGAACATGTCATGTGTAATTGAAATCATGTACCATGGTGCTCGTTGTCACCAAGTTTCATTGTGATAATATACAGAGAAGTGTCATGTTAGCACCTGGGGCTGGGTCTATTAAAGAACTAGAAGACTGAAGAGTTGTCTTAACTTTTTGGAACAAAATTGTTAGGCACTGAGGACAGCTGATAGAGCTGAATTCTGTAGCTGACTCCAGCTATATGAGGATCTGCTTCACAAAAAAAGTTAAAAGTGAATGTGGGTTTGATCACATTTTCGGTCAGCTGTGACACAAGATAAATCACTAGTAACTAGTAAATGAGTCCAATTAAAATGAAATATTGCACCTGTTTTACATAATGAAATATATCCTCTGTTTTAGAGCATTTGTTACTTTTTATCTATTTAAAAGGACATTGACAGATTTATTAGTCTAAAATCAAGTATAGACAATTAGGTCTTAAAGTAATGACAAACTCTCAGGCTAAAGAATTAATTAATTAATTTATTTATTTATTTATTTATTAGTTCATACTTTTTAAGAATACCTTTGCAAGTTCTGTTCCAATACTTTAAAAAAATTACACTCTGATGTCACCTGAAAGTGGAGGAGTTGTTTTAAACCAACACGTCATTGCACGTTACATGTACTACCTGAGTTAAGACCAATATCACGGCATTTGAAATAAATGAAGATGTATGTTATTGCTTTTACATTGCATATGATACCATCTTGATTTTATTCTGATGATATCTTGAATCTGGAATTCAGACTGACTTGAAGGAATGATAAGTATATATTATCAAATATTTTAGTGTCATTGGACAGACGTAAATACTGGGATTAATGATAGTTTTGGGAAGTTTAATGTTATATCCACTGAACTGAAAACGATACACTTTTCGTCCTTGTAGAAAAGATGGTTTAGACATTTGAATTTTGGGCAAAATGTTCAAAACAAGAGGTGGGAGTTAAAATTGGTTCAGGAAGGTTGAGAATTTAGCTATTTGTGAATAGCACAGCTACTATTGAAGAGGTATCAGTAATGGAACTTTATTGGTATGGTGGTTATTTATTATTATTTAAAAGATTATTTATTTTTATTTCCTTATAATTTTGTGAACATATCTGGTACATTTTTTTTTTTTTTTTGCTCAAAAGTCAGACTTAAATCAAATTATTTCATTCTGAAGTTATACCTGAGGTAACCCAAGCATCACATTGAAAAACAAACAAAAAAAGAAAAAAAAAGGACTGACATTTTTGTGGGTTTTACCAATGCCACATACTCATTGAATGCTAATGCCCATTTTGCCCTCTAGTACAGACATGGAAGTATAAGTGATGAGCCAGACATTAGTATAATATGACTGAGCACTGGCCCACTTTGTATTCAGGTGTAGTAACTACAGCATAATGACTCTAGTGATGGTCCTGTGGCACACCATAGTTTACAAGGTGGTGACCATCTCCTGTCTTATTATACAGCATATGGAAGTGACCGTGACTTGACCATTCAAATTACATTACCCGGCTTCTTCTTGTGTTTTATGGTATACTGACTGTGTAACTCATGTAGGGGAGTCGGACAGTCTCATATATTTGATTGGTATCATGGATATGGCACACAGGTGTGCTGTAGTCGTAGTATCACGTATGCTTGCCTGTGGTTATGGTGCACCGTGCATAAAAAGCAAATAGGAAATGATCGCTGAGGATACTTTCTCTCATTTTCCATTATACAAATACAAGAAGATTACTTTATACTACCTCTATTTTCCATATCTGAAAAGCTTTAATTTAAAAAATTTGATTTGTAATATTTCTTTTTTCTACTTCTTTTTTTAAAGAAATTGTGAAATAATTTTATTTTGTACGTTTCAACACATTTTGTATGTTTTAACACGGATTTGTCCCTACTAGTGCTCTTTGTGCCACCGGAGAGTGTGCATTCTTATAGATTATTATTATTCACACTTGACCTTTACTACCAGTACAGTGTAAAAATGTACATGTATTTGACAGTGAAGTTTTTACAGTTATGTCATTGTTTCCAGAGATTCGCCAATATTGATGTCACGAAGGTCCTTTTAAATAACATTTCTCAACAATTGTCACATACCAAATATATTGATTTTATAAATAGAGAAAGTATATTTAATCATAGATTATGTGCCTATTGTCTTTTTTTCTTTTCATTTCACAGATTAAAGTATTATTATGCAGAAAAATGCCTTCTGTTTATTTGTTTTGTTATTTATAAATGTCAGATGGCATTGTTCCTTTGCATATAGTAGCTTAATCATTCAGGCCTTTAAGTTATGATAAATAAAGTGGTGTATGTTTCTTTTGATCTTTGGATTTTCTTGTACCTGTACATTGATGACTTGGGGAGAGGCAGTGGGAAGTCATTTACAACTGTTAACTTAGCCTAAAGGAGATAAATTTCAGACACCATAAAAAAAGAATGATATAGAAGCTGGTAACCTATTTTCTAGCTGTATTGAATTGGGTCTACACAGCTTTGTTAACATTAGAGTTTTTTTTTATTTATTCATTTACTTTTTGTTAAGCAGGTTTGGAGGAAAAATGTTGCTATTCAATAAGCACAAATTGTGCAAATATAAATATTGATTAAGTTTTCTCATCATCTGGAAATTTCCTGTCAATTTCTTTTTGATCCCATAAAAAATAGTAATGATAAAAGGATTCTTGCTCTGAATCTAAATTTAGTGGGCATGTAGAGTTGCTCTGTTCACTGTGGGTAGAACTGAAGACAAGAGTATAAAGCAATAACTCTCTTCACTGCTGCTTAAAAGAGTGAACTAATCCACGGTAACACGATCCTAGCGTTTAACCCTCACACAATGCCCCAATGTTGGCATGAATGAGGTGGGGGATAAAAGGTGTGCTTAGGAGGCTAATTTGGATTTGGTTGCTCAGATAACAAGCTTTCTGGGCTTTTGTGTACCCTCTTTTCACAAGGGTCAGGAAGGCAATGGTATGCACCCATTGGGGGTGTAATGGGGTGTAATGACTTAAAGAGTTATAAGGTTTCAACCATGTAATGAAATAACCACTGGATGCAAAAGTTTTTTTGGTGCTATGCTGTCTAAGTTAAAGTTAATTCTATCAAAAGGGAAAATTTTAAAGATTAAACTGGTGGTCTTGTATAAATTATTTTAAAATGCTTAGAAACATATACTTATAAGTTATACTGTATGTGCAGCTTTTAACACTCATAAAATTTGAAATAAGTTATTTTTTTAATTGTTGACACTTGTAGAGGTAAAGGAAACATAAGAGACAAACACTGATTAACAGTTGCTATGGACAATCAGGTAATGATTGCCCATCACTGAAATAAACAAGACAATAGATATCACATGGGGAGCAATTCATCAGAGGTGATTCAAATAATCCAAGCTTACAACCACTGATACCACCCTCTCCTCTCTAAACTTTATCAATATTTTTCAATTGGCTCCTTTTTTTTTTTTTTTTTTTTTTTCAACAGAGAAAAACAAAATTTCATTTTCACAAATTAAAGCAATTGTTTTAAGGTAAAGTATTCATACTGCAATAAATCAATTTGTTTTAATCTTGTCTAGCACTTTCACCTTTTTACTCAGTAGTTTACATAGACATTTACAACAAATGATACCAAGAATCAATACAGTAATAACAATGCACAGAAGAAAGATAAAAACATCCACAAGGTAGTACTGATACCACGGCATGCCTGCTCCAGGAGAACGCAGGTAAGAGCCGCCATGTTTCAGGACATGCTCAATCCATGAGACAGCGAGTTGTTGTGAAGTCACCGGCTGATCACGATAAATGGCAGATAACTTTTTCGCTGCTGTCATATAGGTTGGGTTCTCAATCATGTCTTTGATATTGTTCAGAAGTTCTTCAGAAGTGAAATCTGCAATGTTCATGATTTTTGCCATTCCCTTGTTACGAGCTCTGTTGCCATTGTATACTTGGTCATAGAAAAAAGGGAACCCAAGTATTGGAATGCCATGATAAAGAGCGTCATATGATCCTCCATTGCCACAGTGGCTTATAAACAGCTTTGTATTGGGATGAGCCAAGAGATCATTCTGTGGAAGCCATTTTAAAAGTTTTACATTTGAAGGAACCTGGTCTGGTTTGGTGCCAGTAAATCTCCAGATGACTCCATACATGACTTTAGAAAAAGCTTCCAGCATCTTGTTAGTGACATGGGTAGGAGGGTAGGTTGTCCATGATCCAAAGGAGACAACAATCACACCTTCTTCATGACTATCCATGAAAGACTGCAGTTCTCTGGTCAGAGGTTTTCCAGGTCTGGTGTTAAGTCCCCCAGCAAGAATGACATTAGGCAAAGTCAACTGAGGGTAGTCCAAGACAGCGCTCTTTTCTGTTACTACAAATAATTCAGACAGCAAAATCAAGTCACCTGGAGTTTTTCTTGCTTTACCTGGTAAATATTCAGTAAAGTATCTGTCAGGAATTCTTGGTGTACTCCATATCCAGTCAACCAGCTCACATATTAAAAGATTTAATGTTCGCTGTAAGAATGACATGTCATCTGAAAATGGGCTGAGTGGATGTGGAATAACTGAAGGTAGACGTGGCACCCCAGATATTGGTAAAGGAGCAAAGGATAAAGTGATATGGCGAAGGTTATGTTTGTAAGGAAGCAGGTATGCTGTTGGGAATAATGAAAAGCAGTTGGACAGAATTACCATGTCAATTCCCAGATCTTCTATTCTTTGGTGGAATTTTCTGTCCTTCAACATATCCTCAGTATACTCAGTAAGTATCATTTTTCTTAACATGAATTCTGATGCTAATCGTTTGCGCGGGATAATTTTTTCAATTGGATCCTCAAAAAAGGCCATGAATGCAGTTTTCTGTATGTCTGGGTTTTCAAATGCCAAGACACCTTCAGACCTAGTTTTGAAAGTCAAAAGCTGTACTTTGCTATCCACCATGTCCTCTGGAAGTTCTGCAGCAGCATGCTCTCCAATAACAAGGTAAACATCATGTCCCCTGTCAGCTAGACCCAAGAGAAGGTTTTGAGTTTCTATCACCTGTCCCTTTAGTGGAAAAATTATTCCCAAAAATTTTGCACTTTCAGCATATTGGTAGTAGTAAAAAAAGCACAGCAATGGTATGATATGTTTGGTCCACTTCATGTCTTCCCTCTCAATGAAGAGCAGATCTAGTTGCTCCAGTATGACAGTCACTGTGATATCAAACCGAAGCTGTAGAAGTTTAAAAAGCTATTCACTGACCAGCATTTCAACCTGCCAGAGATACTGGTACATGTACTGGTACATGTACTTGTGTAAACAACACAGTCTGTAACTCATAGTAATGTCTTTTACTGATGTTAACTACTGTAGGTCACACAAATTTGTGACTTGCTTACATCCTTTGTGTTGATGCATTGGCATTTTTATGGCAAATGAGTAACCACACAATTTTTGTGCTACGTGTGTTGAATAAATACACTGTATATGTCTTTTAATGTTAGAACTATTGGGTATACATGCCCCCCCCCCCCCCCTACCCCCTCTCACATGAGATTGCCAGTGCTTTCCATTACTCAGGCCTACCCAACTACCGGACTTGGCTCGGCACCGAATGATCCTGAATTCACTGGTATATTGGACCACACTACCTGTTTTCAAGGTGTGCGTCAGTACGCGCTTCGAAGTATCAGTCACAACACCACTCTTGCCTTATATACGTGATAGCGATGATTCTCAGCTGGGTTGGAAAGTAGTGCATCTCATCTCAAAATTTGTTCTTAGGTATGATACTGTGAAATGCATACTGACACACACCTTTCTTTTAATGCAGTGCAGTCTAACTAAAGAAGTTAATTCTATCAATTTTTTACGATTAAACTGTTGGTCTTGTGTATTTTAAATTGCTTACCAATGTATACTTGTAAGTTATACTGCCCAACTATTAATGCTCATTGATTTAAAACAAGTTATCTCTCCCCCCCCACCCCCCCCGGTATTTTATTTATTGTCCAGACTTGTAGAGGTAAAGGAAACGTAAGAGACAAACACTGATTACCAGTTTACTATCGATGATCAGGTAATGATTGTCCATCAGTGAAACAATCAAGACAATAGATATCACACGGTGAGAAATTCATCAGAAGTTATGATTTGAATAATCTAAGCTTACAACCGATGATACCAATCTCTTCTCTCTAGACTTTATGAATGTTTTTCAACTACCTCTTTTTTTAAAAAAAGAAATTTCCTAGAGAAAAACATAATTTCATTTTCATCACTAGTTAGCATTTATTTGTACAAATTAAAGCAGTTTTTTTTTTCAGGTAAAGTATTCATACTACAATGAATCAATTTGTTTTAATCTTGTCTGGCACTTTCACCTTTTTACACAGTAGTTTACATAGACATTTACAACAAATGATACCAAGAATCAATAAAGTAATTGCAATGCACAGAAGAAAGATAACAACATCCACAAGGTAGTACTGATACCACGGCATGCCTGCTCCAGGAGAACGCAGGTAAGAGCCGCCATGTTTCAGGACATGCTCAATCCATGAGGCGGCCAGTTGTTGTGAAGTCACCGGCTGATCACGATAGATGGCAGATAACTTTTTCGCTGCAGTCATATATGTCGGGTTCTCAATCATGTCCTTGATATTGTTCAGAAGTTCTTCAGAAGTGAAATCTGCAATGTTCATGATTTTTGCCATTCCCTTGATATGAGCTCTGTTGCCATTGTAAACCTGGTCAAAGAAATGAGGGAACCCAAGTATTGGAATGCCATGATAAAGAGCTTCATATGACCCTCCATTGCCACAGTGGCTTATAAACAGCTTTGTACTGGGATGGGTCAAGAGATCATTCTGTGGAAGCCATTTTAAAAGTTTTACATTTGAAGGAACCTGCTTTAGTTTGGAACCAGTAAATCTCCAAATTACCCCATGTGTGACTTTTGAAAAAGCTTCCAGCATCTTCTTAGTGACATGGGTAGGAAGGTAGGTTGTCAGTGATCCAAAGGAGACAACAATCACGCCTTCCTTGTACTTATCCATGAAAGACTGCAGTTCTCTGGTCAGAGGTTTTCCAGGTCTGGTGTTAAGTCCCCCAGCAAGAATGACATTAGGCAAAGTCAACTGAGGATAGTCCAAGACCGCGCTCTTTCCTGTTACTACAAATAATTCAGACAGCAACATCAAGTCATCTGGAGTTTTTTTTGCTTTACCTGGTAAATATTCCATAAAGTATCTGTCAGGAATTCTTGGAGGGCTCCATATCCAGTCATCCAGCTTATATATTAAAAGATTTACTGTTCGTTGTAAGAATGACATGTCATCTGAAAATGGGCTGAGTGGATGTGGCATCACTGAAGGTAGAAGTGGCATCCCAGATATTGATAAAGGAGTAAAAGATAAAGTGATATGGCGAAGGTTATGTTTGTAAGGAAGCAGGTATGCCGTGGGGAATAATGCAAAGCAGTTGGACAGAATTACCATGTCAATTCCCAGATCTTCTATTCTTTGGTGGAATTTTCTGTCCTTCAACATATCTTCAGTATACTCAGTAATTAACATTTTCCTTAACATGAATTCATATGCTAATCGTTTGCGCGGGATAATTTTTTCAATTGGATCCTCAAAAAAGGCCATGAATCCAGTTTTCTGTATGTCTGGGTTTTCAAATGCCATGACATCTGCAGACCTAGTTTTGAAAGTCAAAAGCTGTACCTTGCTGTCCACCATGTCCTCTGGAAGTTCTGCAGCAGCATGCTCTCCAATGACAAGGTAAACATCATGTCCCCTGTCAGCTAGACCCAAGAGAAGGTTTTGAGTCTCTATCACCTGTCCCTTTAGTGGAAAAATTATTCCCAAAAATTTTGCACTTTCGGCATATTGGTAGTAGTAAAGAAAGCACAGCAATGGTATGATATGTTTGGTCCACATCATCTCTTCCCTCTCAATGAAGAACAGATCTAGTTGCTCAAGTATGACTGTGATATCAAACTGGAGGTGTAGGAGTTAAAAATGCTATTCACTGACTAGAGATACTGGTACATGTACATGTACAGCTGGTGTAAACAACTCAGTCTGTAACCCATAGTAATGTCCCTTATTGATGTTAACCTCTGTAGATCATACAAATTTGTGACTTGTTCACATCCTTTGTGTTGATGCGTTGGCATTTTAATGGCAAATGAGTGACCACACAATTTTTGTGCTACATGTGTTGAATAAATACACTGTATATGTTTTTCTGTTACAACTATTGGGTATATGTTCTAATGCCCCCCCCCCCCTCCCATGAGTTTGCCAGTGCTTTTCCATTACTCCAGAAACAAAATATAACTTCTTTCTTCATACCCTATTTTATGGGAAGGAGAGATCATCATATCATGCTTGAAGCAAAACAACAACATTATACATATTCAAGTGCCAAAAAAGGTGACCAGCACTACTGTGTCTTTGTTGAGAAAGTTTTAAATATTAGCATTTAAAGGGTGAGGCACCTTTAAACAATACTTATCGACTCAAAACTCAAGCACTACAACAGGTATCACATGTGCAAATATTCGTCATAATGTAAAATTAATGCAGATTTCCATGAATTTTGGGAAACATGACTGAAAAACTTTTTTTGCCTGAAATTTAGAAAAAGTCCTCCATTATTGAAATTAAAAAATAATAATAATGATGGGGTCATGCCCATTTTTAAACTTGATTAGCATTTTAGGACATTGAATAATACCTGTGAGTTTGAAGCAAAATGTTTACATGTTGCTTCAATCTGAGTTATTGTGTTAACAAGATTTGTGCACAGCTCTGGTCACATGGACAGACTTGGATGATAAAATAAAACCTTCTGATTTGGTGAGATAGGTATTAACAAATGCTTATTCATTATTCTCTCTACATCAGCTTGTTTGGGAAATTTAAAAAATGCCAGATAATGTGTTTTTCAAATTGAATTGCATTATAGTTTGAGTTAAACATTCAAAGATTGCAATGTTAAGTAATTTAAAATCTGCTCTGAAGTTGTGGAAAGGTAGACAAACATCATTCTCCTCTGCCTCTCCCCAATAAACCTGCCTGGTCACCGTGATTCCTATGCCAGATATACATCTAGCATTGTAGCAGGTAGGGAGAGATATTAAGCTGATCCCCGCCAGCCACTGGGGGAAAGGAATGTTGTATGGGGACAGAGCAGCAAGCCCAATGACTGTAGTGCATTCACTGTGGATTTACTACTGAAAGGTTAGGAGATCTCCATCTAACAGGTGAGTGAAGTTTGATGATTGTTATGCTAACTCTCAAGGTTAATATTATTTTTCCCCACTCTGTTATATATTGGCTTTGTAAAAACAAATCGCTGCTTGGTCGTAAAACTGTTTTACTGCCCAGAGGCACTATTCTGCACATATACTGCAAAATATGCGCTGCATCAGCTTATGCTTACAAAATCGACTTATGAAGCTCGAGAAGCAATTATGGCATGTAGAGTCCAAAATGCTCATTGAAACTTTCTCTTTGTGGTGGCATATTTTGAAATATTTGAGAACTTGGGATTCTTTCTTGTTCTGCCAGAGTGGTTTCGAGTGATACAGTACCTGTCATTGAACTAAGCCCAACTGTTATAATTTTTTGTTTAAAAAACCTAAAATTGCAGGGGATGCTTTAAAAGAATTAAATAAGTAATATGCTACATACAAAAACAAGAGTGTCATACTAACTCAAAACAATCTGAAATATTTTTTAGGGACACAAACGATGAACTCTTTGCCAATGTATTAAAAGTTGCCCAGGGTCACTATCATAAAAGAAAAGGTGAACATACATAAGAGCTGAACGCCCATAAAAACTGTACTCTTAGCACTACACAAGGCAGCAAATATATACCCGATTTGTGTAGGGCCCCAAAGGTAACAAGTTCAGAATTAAAGAAAGAAAGCTAAAAACAACAACATAAAAGATGGATTTCCATGTATAAGGCAGTATACAAGAAGTTACAGAACAGAAATGTTGCATGAAAACAGGCTTTTTAATTTGTTCTGCATATACCTAAGACTAGCATGCATGTAAATATCCAATGTAATTATGTCTTGACCCAGGTTCATCTTCTTAACGTAAACATTAGCACAGGTGTTGTCATTTGACAGGTGAGCTGAGAAGGTGGGTCTGTCCTTAAGTCCTACTAAACCTGTGAATCAATTGTTTTTAAGTAGGATTGTAATGCGAGACATGTACAGTTGTTTGTGACAAAATAGAAAATGTACATACGTACCTTGCTTGGGACTGGTTTTTTGACAACAGGCCAGTATTGTTAGATGAAAATAATGGTCTTGTCGAAAACCAGTTTTAAATGCCAAATATTTGACATTATTGTATTCCTCTGTACATGGTCAACTTTGGCATTCTGCTTCTGTAATTTTAACTTAAATATATATGCTA